CACAATTTTTACAACCCTTGTCGTCAACTATCTGTAGCGATGTTTGATTAAATATTAGGAGAATTGGGCTCTAGAGAGATATGGTGCAGCGACTTTAATGCACATAATAGTTTATGGGGAAGCACACATACAGATGCTAATGGTACTATTGTGGAAGATATGATGGAAACAAGAGCATTAGTATGTCTTAACGATGGATGTGGTACAAGAGTTTATGTTGTTAGAGGCGTAACATCCTGTCTGGACCTCACACTGACTTCTAACTCTATTGCATCTATGTGTAAATGGAATGGAATGAATGATTCTACTGTTGGAAGTGCTCATGTCCCGATTTGGTGTACCATGAACTTTGATGTTACTATTCCAAATAGGGTACCATTCAGAAGATTGTGCTTTCATAAAGCAGACTGGGAAAAGTTTGATGATCATTGCTTAAAGTCTGTTGGACAGTTGTCTTTAGAGAGGCCAGTTAATGTATGTGCTGCCTCTGACCTCTCAGATTTTGGGTGCTGCGAATGTAATTTATATGTACCAATGAGTAAAGTGGGTGAGAAAAGGAAGGTGATTCCTTGGTGGACTGAAGAGTGCACTGCGGCTATTCGAGAAAGAAATAGGGCTTACAGAGTGTTGCGTAGGAATATGACTCCTGGGAATCTAGTTGATTTCCAAAGGAAGAGAGCTTTAGTACGTAGGGTCAGTCTGTCAAGAGAAATGCATGGAGACAGTTCTGCTCTACAATAGGCAGGGGTACTGAGCTGAACTTTTAATATGGTCATGTTGAAGAAGATGACTGGAAGAAGCAAGTCCAATCGAATTCCAGTTTTGGTTGTGGGTCAAAAAATGGCCATAACTGATAAAGAAAAAGCTGACTTGTTGGCGAAGACATTTGCTAGGGTACATAGTGGGGTTACTTTGGATGAAGTATACAGTGCTATGAAAAAGTATTTGCCCCCTTTCTAATTTAAAGCAAAGCATCCCCAAACCATCACACCACCACCACCATGCTTGACCTTTGGTATGATGTTCTTACTGTGGAATGCAGAGTTTGGTTTTCGCCAGGCATAATGGGACCCATCTCGTCCAAAAGGTTGGCTCAAGTTTGCCAAAAAGCACCTGGATGATCATCAAGACTCTTGGAAGAACGTTCTATGGACAGATTATTCAAAAGTATAACTTTTTGGACAACATGGTTCCAGTAATGCCTGGCGAAAACCAAACTCTGCATTCCACAGTAAGAACATCATACCAAAGGTCAAGCATGGTGGTGGTGGTGTGATGGTTTGGGGATGCTTTGCTGCCTCAGGACCTGGACGACTTGCCTAACTAGAAGGAACCATGAATTCTGCTCTGTATCAGAGAATTCTAAGGGAGAATGTCAGACCATCCGTCTGTGAGCTGAATCTGAAGCGCAGCTGGGTCATGCAGCAAGACAATGATCCAAAACACACAATCAAGTCTACATGGAAATTGCTAAAAAGCAACAAATTGGAAGTTTTGGAATGGCCTAGTCAAAGTCCAGACCTAATCCCAATGAAGATGTTGTGGCAGGACTTGAAACGAGCAGTTCATGCTTGAAAACCCACACGTCACTGAGTTAAAGCAGTTCTGCATGGAAGAGTGAGCCAAAATTCCTCCATAGCGACGTGAGAGACTGATCAACAACTACAGGAAGCATTTGGTTGGAGTCATTGCAGCTAAAGGTGGCACAACCAGTTATTGAGTGTAAGGGGGCAATTACGTTTTCACACAGGGGAATTGGGTGTTGCATAACTTTGTTTATGAAATAAATGAAATAAATATGTAATTGTTGTGTTATTTGTTCACTTATGTTCCCTTTATCTAATATTAGGTTTTGGTTGAAGATCTGATAACATTCAGTATCACAAATATGCAAAAGTAGAGAAAATTAGAAAGGGGGCAAATACTTTTTCATAGCACTGTATAAGCAACGCAGGTGTGAGATTTTAATTGCTCATGTTAATATGTTTAAGAAAAGGGATACTGTTGACTCTTCTTTGGATGCTGATTTTGCCATATATGAGTTGCGTTCAGCCTTAATATGCTTTGGATACACAGCCCCAGTTCTTGATCAGTTGTGCTATGTAATGTTTAAGCATCTACCTGATGAGGTCATACATGTTCTCCTTGGATTATTTAATACTATTTGGAGTGAGTGGGTTATACCTTCTGGTTGGAAACGTGCAGTAATATTACCTTTTGTAAAGCCTGGTAAGGACCCTTCATGTGCTGATAGTTATAGACCAATAGCACTGACCTCTAACTTGTGTAATCTAATGGAAAAGATGATAGTCAACAGATTGTCATATTTCCTGGAACATAGAGGTTTATTGAGTCAATGTCAAAGTGGATTCCGTAAAGGTAGATCTACTTTGGATGCATTAGTAAAGGTGAGCAATGAAGTTGAAAAAAATCTGGTCATGAAAGAAGTAATGGCTACCGTCTTTTTTTTACATTGAAAATTGTTATTACATTATGTGGAGAGAAGGCCTACTGATTCAGTTGGTAAGACTTGGTATTGGTGGGAGATTATATAACTTGGTTTTGGCCTTCTTATTTAATTGCTCTTTTCGAGTTAAAATAGGATCCATTTTATCTGATGCCTATGGAGTTGACAATGGTATTCCTCAAGGTCGTGCAGTCAGTCCTATTTTGTTCAACAATATGATTAATTATGTGTTTTTTCAAATGTAGATAGGGGTATTGGGGCTTCCCTATATGCTAATGATGGAGCTATTTGGAAGAGGGTAAGGAATGTCTCTCGTGATCAAATCTATTCAACAAGCTATAGTGGATGTTGAAAGATGGTCGATTGACTTGGGTTTTTAATTGTCAGTGGCGAAGACTTGTATGTTCTTCTCGAAGAAGAAAGTTGCTGATAATATACAGTTGTTTCTGTATGGACAGCCTATGGTGAGGGTTTCTAAGTACAGATATTTGGGTCTATGGTTCAATGAGTGATATACATGGAAAGAGCATGTCATAAATGTTGAAACAAAGTGTAAGAAGGTGGTGAGTCTTATGCGCTCTGTCTCTGGTTCGTAGTGGGGTGCTGACAAACAATTGTTGATGGATATTTATAGAGCTCTGATCAGGATGACAATTGATTACGGGTGTATAGTTTATGGAACAGCGGCGAAGACTTGGCTTCAGAAGCTGGACAGAATCCAGTATATAGCTTTAAGGATATGTATTGGTGCATTTAAATCAACATCGTAAAAAATGGTCATTAGCTTATTGGGTTAGGGTGAAAAGCTGTGAGGTTGAGCATCCCATTGCTACTGTTCTAGATGACTGCTGGGAATATAATTGTAGACAAGGCAGTGGTTTTGGTTGGACAGTTGGAAAGCTTGCTGATGAGAGTGGTTTGAGGGAGTTAGAGGTTGGCCCTTCTGTGGTGATAGGGGACGTTTCTCCATGGTTACTCCCAGATCCTGTTGTTGATCTAACCTTGGTAGAGAAAAGGAAAGATTGGTCAGATGTCAGTGATATAGGGAAACTGGTTGACAATTACATTGGTAGATGTTTTATGCTTTTTTACCGCTTTTCACAGATGGATCCAAGGACCCAGATAGTGGGCGCACAGGAGCAGGCATTTACGTTCCTGAATTTGATGTGCAGATATGTAGAAGACTAACAGATGAACTGTCAGTATACTCAGTTGAACTGTTGGCGATAATAGTTGCCCTCCTGTGGGTGGAGGACGTACAACCTGTTAGAATTATAGTATGCTCATATTCTCTGTCTGTCTTGAATAGTTTATCATCTGGTAAATCTAATAGGAGTGACCTACTATTGGAGGTATTCATGTTATTATGGAGAATTGAGAGAATGGGTGTACTAGTGAGATTCTTCTGGGTCCCAGCACATTCGGGTGTGGAAGGGAATTAAATTGTAGACCAGTTAGCCAAAAGAGCGTTGAAACTAGATATATATTTATATTAATGTTCCACTGGATAGAGGTTAGGCCAAATGTAAGATCAGAGCCATTTTGATAGAAATGTGGCAGAAGAGATGCGACTCTGAGCACAAGGGCTGGCATTTATATGCCCTCCAAAGAAAGGTTGGTGGATCAAGATTCAATGGTCAGATTAGGAAGGAAGAGGTGGTGTTTGCTCAATTGCGCTTAGGACATTGTACATTGAACTCGTCATTACATCTGGTTGGCAAGCATGTGAATGGTGTGTGTCTGGAGTGTATGGTCGATGAAACGGTGGAGCATGTGTTGTTATATTGTTGTAAGTATGTTGAAGAGAGGGAAAGATTGAACTGTAGGGTCATTGAGGTTGGAAGGGATTTGGGGGATGGGGGAGGGTCTATTAGAAGTTTGTAGGGCTCATTTTTATTTTCTCAGAAGTGCCTAGTTAGGTAGGAGGATTTAGAAATGTTGTAAACTGTGATTGACCACACACTCCAGCACATTAGGTGGCGGCATGCACCTTTAACGTTGATTTGCGGACCGCTAATATATCACCAGAGAATTATAAAACCAGAGGCGCAACATCGCAAGACTTCTGGGAACGCTTGCGAAACAGACAAACAGACAAGACCGGGGTTTGGGGTTTGAGAAGTCAATGAGAGTTGTTCATTTTCTCGAAATCTAAAGGCACAACCTAGATTCGAGCCAATGTCTTAAGTAGCTGAACATGTTATTACTCCAATCTTGTGAGAGTGACAAACTGACACGTTTGCATTTTCGTCAAAAACAACTTTATATTGATGGAGTGCCTTTTATGTGACAGCCTGCACATGCGCAGTTTGGCGCGAGACGCCCGTGACCTACAAGTGTGATCGGGGATTTCAGTTTTAGCCTATCGTCATTCTGTACTGTCTTATAATACTGTGGCTAGTTTTCCGAATAATAAAACGCGTTTTAAAATATTTTTCGCGTGTTATGAATTGGTTGTTTCCGGATGCCGTACAGGAAGTGACATTGCGGATACTTTTGCATTGTGGGATCTGTGTGCTTTCCTCTTGCAATCATGGCGGATGCCTTTGGTGACGATTTGTTCAGCGTGTTTGATGAAGAACAAACAACTTCAACTAAAAAGAAACCCGCGATACCTGAAAAGGGGTATGTATGTTATGGGTTTTCACTCAGTTAGGAAGATTTTCAGTTCAAGTAGTGACATAGACAACTATCAAATGAGAACACGCGCAGACAGCATCATGTCTTACAGTAGCTAACGTTAGACCTCAATGGTAATGCTACAGTATCTAGCTAGCTAAAGCACATTGCCCACGTTTACACCGGCGTTGTATTTGTTTAATCCCAGACCCTTGGTAGTTAGATTGTTTTGTGTTTACTACCTAGCTAATGAGAATAAACTCTCGCCACATTTTATTTGTTGAAAATGTGAAATATGTTAGTGATATAGGATGCAGTCTAGTGAGTCAACTGTTTATCTTACCTGGTACTCCATACACACACAAACACAGTTGTCTCAGTCATATGTAGGTATTAGATAGAAGTGGTGGTATTGTCCTGGATTTCATATCTGAGATCATTTTGATTGGCAGGTCTATGTTTCTTAGCTCGATGCCATGTAAATTATTTAAATAACAGCCAGATATTGGCGAGGAATAATTCCTACCAACATATGGGGCTGCAGATAATCTACTTGTTTCTTTCTTAAAGTAACAGTACCGTAAAATATTCTCCCCCATTAGGAAATCGACCAGTAAAAATGGCAAAGGAGGAAAGGACGAGTTCTCTACAGCCAAGAGTAAGCGGGAAGCAGACAACAACGGGACAGACGAGGTGGTGTTTGGAAAGAAGGCTAAACTGGAGACTGTTTCTACAGAAGAGATCAAGTAAGATTATGACTTTGAACAAGGCTAGATTTGTGGGCAAGGGTGGTCTAAACCGCTGCCTCTGGATTAGCCAATATTGGACTAAAGGAGCCTAACGTTAGACCAAGGACCTCACATGTTCAGTTTAAATTGCGAATTGGCTCTGGAAGCAAAAAAACGGCCGAATACTCCATCTAAACGTGAATCAATTCTCAATTGCGTTATGGTTCTTGAAACATAAATACCTTTAAAATCACATCAAAATAATTTCACAATGCAAAATACACACTTACTGGGTACTGTTTTAACCAGTTTTAACACAGTTGCAGCCGACAGTATTTGTTGGTGACAACACGTTTTGTGGCGTCTGTCTTCTGTTTACACACAGGTGTTCAGGAACACAAATAGCTCATTAACACATGTAGTCCACTTTGTCATTTGTCTGTTTTTCCGTAAAATAGTGCTGTAACATGGCCATGAGGGAACCCTAACCCTCTTCGATATGAAGGATAAGGCCCTTATGCTTCCAAAACCGTACCACAAGCGATGCGTGTTAATGTTCAGACCGAATGTCGGGGCTCTTAACAAAACTCCCCCCTACAGAAGACTCCTTCGTCTGTCCAATTAGATATAGCTACCGCTGCAGCATGGGTTCTAATCCAGCCCACTGCTATTTCTGCACACTCTATCTTTCATCGCTACCGACTGCCACACTCATTAGAAAAAAAGAACAAAGAAAAATATGACGAGGCTAGATTAGTATTATTGTCTGGTGTTAATTGTTGTGATTCCTTGTTATAGACACAATTCGCTTCATGACTATATGATCTGCAAAGAAATGTGAATTCTTCTCATTGTTGGGTAATGGATTGAATACTAATGAATGTGTAACTCCCATTTTCAGTCTTGCCGACTGCATGCCCAAGGTGAAGGTGGAGCCGGTTGAGACAGTGGAAGGATGCAATCACGAGGTAAGCGTGCTCAGGACTTTTGAAATATGAATTTAATGACTTCATTTTTTGTATTCATTTATGAAACCTAGGTAGGCCTATACCCCAATATTACAACTTGGTTCCCTTTACTGAAAATCTGCTTTCCTTACCTGAACAGGTGGCCCTACCAGCCAATGAGGAGTACACGCAGTTAAAGCCTCGTGTGGGGAAAGCAGCAAAGGTACTGTAACGGTACATCAGTCCACTGATTGGATAGGGATACTTTGAGAGCACAGTCTGAAACTCATGGCCTTCAACATTGCCTTGTCAAGTGACTCCAGTCCAACCATCTATGTTCCTGCTAACATCAAACTGATCTCTTTTGTAGGAGTACCCCTTCGTTCTGGATCCCTTCCAACGTGAGGCCATTCTGTGTATCGATAACAGCCAGTCAGTGCTTGTGTCTGCCCACACCTCTGCAGGAAAGACTGTCTGTGCAGAGTGAGTTTGATACACTGATACCCTTTTAGTTTTAACACTACAGAGTTTGGCCGAACTAAGCCAAGCTGTAATGTACTGTGCAGCACAGTATGTATCGGGTCAGCGAGATGGTGTGAAAAGGGTATGAGTGTGTTCAGATGTTTTGCGTGTTTGGGATGTGACTGGACTGTATACAGCAGTGTTTTTTAAGAAAACATTTTTTCCATCCAAAACTATTTTCAGTGTAAACTTAAACAACTAAAACCAGATATAAAGTATGTACGCCTTTTAAAATAAGATCATCTTTGAGAACTGACAATCACTACATTAAAAGCTAGACACTCAGTGACAATCAAAATGATGCATTCAGGAGTATTTATGTCATGGCCCCCATTTGAATTTGTTCTAATGTTATAGCATAAGCAATTGCAAAATGTCTAGAATTGCAGGAAATTAGCTTTAAAACAGCTAAATTGTCACTGCAGCCAACAGGAGGGCCTCTAAAATGTTCGGTCGGTGACCTCGCCATTGGCCACGCCCCCACCACACACACCACCTAAGACCCATTTTGATTCAGAAAAAAGCCTCTTACTCACTTTCCCTCCCTCCTCCTCCTCATCCAGGTATGCCATAGCTCTAGCTCTGAGGGAGAAGCAGAGGGTCATCTTCACCAGCCCCATCAAAGCCCTGAGTAACCAGAAGTACAGAGAGATGTACGAAGAGTTCCAGGATGTTGGCCTGATGACCGGTGATGTCACCATCAACCCCACCGCCTCCTGCCTCATCATGACTACTGAAGTATGACATTGCAGCGTCCCATTTATAATTACATTATTCTCTCCAACAATCTCTACTGTGTCTTTAGGCTGAGCTAGAATATTACTAAGTTGTACTTACGTTTTTCTCTAGTGATATTAGTATATCTAATTGAATATTATCAAATATATTATGACATATTTCATTTGTTTCTGTGTTTCAGATCCTGAGGAGCATGTTGTACCGAGGGTCAGAGGTCATGAGAGAGGTGGCCTGGGTCATCTTTGATGAGATCCATTACATGAGAGATGCCGAGCGTGGCGTGGTGTGGGAGGAGACCATCATCCTGCTTCCCGACAACGTCCACTATGTCTTCCTGTCCGCCACCATCCCAAACGCCAAGCAGTTCGCTGAATGGATCTGCCACCTCCACAAACAGGTTCATTTTTTTATTGACTTTTATCAATGTGTATAGGCTACCATGGAGCGACCTTAACCCAACAACTAGAGACCTCGTCAAGGGGTTTGAATCTCTTGGGCTAAGGTGTTGGGTTGACAGTTAAAAGGTCCCAGGTTCATCAAGACCTGGTTGGGACTACCCTACAATGCATTTCCCTTACCCCTGCCCTGTCTAGTGATCAGCTGCCGGTCTCATTCCAATGCCAGATCAACCTCAGTCAGCAGAAGGCAGGGCCACAACATTGGCATCTCCATTTTGAAGGCTGAGAACACACAGCCAAAAATATCCCTTATCTGCTTACATGTGTATCAAGCATCATTTGATTCCATTCAGTTGTTTAACAATCTTCAGGGATTGTGATGAGGTGCTCATACAATTGACTTGTTCTTGTCTCCTATAAGCATATTTTTATTTATTTAACCTGCATAGCCATGCATCAAGCGTAATTGTTTCAATAAAATGGTTTAAAAGAATTTCAGGGATTGTGCTGTTGACTTCCTCCTGTCCCCATGCAGCCCTGTCATGTGGTGTACACAGACTTCCGGCCCACCCCCCTGCAGCACTACATCTTCCCAGCAGGTGGCGACGGACTTCACCTTGTGGTGGATGAGAACGTAAGGAAATTCACACAGCTAGAGGTTTCTTCTGTCTTGACTAGGACGACAATACATTACATTCTACATTTACGACACAGTGAGATAATGCACACCCTGTCACAGTGGGAATGTCCTTAATTCGGTTCCTTGTACAATAATTTGATAGATGTATCAGTAAAGATAATCTAGTGCTGTGTTGAGCATTGCTTGCCTCACTGTGTTGACCTAACAGACCAGGGTTTCCCAAAAGCATCGTAGCACTAAGATAATAATTTTGTCAATTTAGTTTCAATGTAGTTTAAATAATCTTAGTGCTACCTTGCTTTTGGGAAACCCAGCTCAGATAGGTTACAGTGCTGGGAACATACAGAATTCCACGCACTTCATTATTTAGGTTTGGTTTACAATGTCGGTCAGTGACTAAACATGGTGTTAGGTACTAGGCTAAGCATACAATTAGTAGTTTAGAGTATGAACCATTCACACCTCTAGGAATGACCGATGTGTTGAGTAATGGGGCCAGGTGCATAACGTCAAAGATTCTGACTGTTACGATTTGTTATTAGACTGCATCCCACATCACTGACATATTTCATATTTTCAACAAATAAAATGTATATAGAGTTTACTCTCATTAGGTACTAAACACACAAGAATCTCACTGCCAAGGGTCTGGGAATAAAAAATGCTGTAAATAAGTTTTATACTTTACCACACAAGACCCACCTGAGTTGTGGTTAGATCTTAGTCGGTTTGTTATAGAATGTGAAATGAGGCCAGTTTGTCTGCCTGGTCTACTGTAGGGTTAGGTTTGGCTATTGATCCTTTGCTTGTCTTGTCTCCTCAAGGGAGAGTTCAGGGAGGACAACTTCAACACGGCCATGCAGGTGCTGAGAGACACTGGCGACTCTGGAGGCAGCAGTGGGGGGGGCAAATGGGACCCCAAGGGACGCAAAGGAGGGACACGAGGTGTGTGTGATTTAAGACCGATAAACCATGATGTGATTTTAGAATACCACAAGTATTTGTGAGTAGTGTTGTCAGGAGATTGTGACATCTAAATTAGGGTTGCAAAAGGGTTGCTTTTTTTCAACGTGGTTGTGTTTCTCCTTAGGGCCATCCAACGTGTTTAAGATTGTTAAGATGATCATGGAGAGGAACTTCCAGCCGGTCATCATCTTTAGCTTCAGTAAGAAGGAGTGTGAGGCCTATGCCCTGCAGGTGTCCAAGCTCGACTTCAACACAGGTATAGTTCTCCCCATAGAAATATACAGTATAATAGCCTAACTCTAACGATACTCCCAGGTGTCCAAGCTCGACTTCTATAGCGGTAGCTACTCCTTCAATGAGTGGGATGGGTAACACTGTGTCCTAATGGGAATTCATTAGGGCACACCGTAGCAAAGTGCTTTTCAATGGAAAAGGGGTGTTTCTTATTGGAGAAGTTCAGTTAGTTTATTTTACTGCTGCTCTTTAGTTATTTGCTTTTATTTTCTTTACTTAACAAAATGTAATGTCTACCTGTTGTATTCGGCACATGTGGCAAATAAAATTTGATTTGATGTACTCCCTCGAAAGGTGGGACATGTCATGAAGTTTGCTACGGGTGTTTTTAATCATCGGCATCACTCAAGTGGCGCAGTGGTCTAAGGCTGTTCCACTAGAGATCCTGGTTCGAATCCGGGCTCTGTCGTAGTCGGCCGCGACCGGTAGACCCATGGGGCGGCGCACAATTGGCCCAGCGTCGTCCAGGGTAGGGGAGGGAATGGCCGGCAGGGATGTAGCTCAGTTGGTAGAGCATGGCGTTTGCAACGCCAGGGTTGTGGGTTCGATTCCCACGGGGGGCCAGTATGATTTGTAATTTTTTTTAAATGTATGCACTCACTTAACTGTACGTCGCTCTGGATAAGAGCGTCTGCTAAATGACTAAAATGTAAATGTAATGAAGTTTGCTAAGCGTGTTTTTAATCATCGGTTTCACTCAAGTCATTCAATGTAATGTTTTCTATTAACTGTACACATAACTCAATGTTCTCTCTCCTCTGCTCTCCTTGGGGGGTGACAGACATTGCTAAGTAAACCCACTGATGTGAACACACAGCATGCCACTCAACACTTGACTACACACTTTCTGTGTGCTGGAAATGCATAGCATCTGTCCCAAATAGCACCCTATTCCGTATATAGTGCCATTTCGGACAGACACTAAAAGTAGTGCATTATATAGGGAATGGGGTGCCATTTCAAATGCAGCCATAGATTTGCCACCCAATACTTGACTACACACTCTCTGCAAATAGGTTATGCAGCCTGTGCTGATTCGTTGCATGATGACCCTGAGCAGCAGGATGAATCTGGGCTGCAGATCTAATTGGTTAGACCTAACTGTGAAAAACACCAGTCCGAGTCCGTCCTGCATAGCTTGCGAATCTTCACACTTTTGTGTGTGATTCGATTTAAGTCAGTTACGTGCAACAACACCAAATGCTCTCTTTCCACTGGGCATTATGTGAACAATCTCTTATCGGGGTGATATGAATATGGGTATTGTGCTTTCTCAGCTGTTTTTAGATGTTCACTGATCCACTTCTAGTGAAAAGATGCATTATGGTGTTACTGCCCAGTCAGTCTCAGAGGGAGGAGAGAAGACAGTGTGTTGATAAATATGGAGCAAATTTCTCTTAGCTAGACTGGAGCCAGGCCCTTGGCAACAGGTTTCTATCTCCCCCAGCCTGACCACAGGCGGATTCTGTTTGTAATGGAATTCACTTCAGCATGTGTTTCAGTTCAGAGCAAATATTTAGACATTGTGCCTTTTCTCTTTCACTTGCAACACACTGACACCGAATCATCTTGTGTAAGATGTTCTATTTACACAAACAATCTGACTAAGCCGTACATATACAATGTGGGATTTATACTGAAGATTTTATGAGAACTCCTCAAGACCATTCTAGACAGTGCTAGTGCTCTCCTCTGCTGTTGTTCCAAAGAGTGACGTGGCTATATTATGGAACGTCAAATACTTTTTGTTTTCCATTTGCTCTTTTCTGAACCATTTTTGAAATAAGCAGCAGCACTGTTGTGGGCTAAGGCGTAGTTTCGTATTAGTAGTATTTATAGAAACAGAGCTGCTGGCCTGTTTTCAGGTTTAGGCTAGCTATTACAGTGGGGGAAAAAAAGTATTTAGTCAGCCACCAATTGTGCAAGTTCTCCCACTTAAAAAGATGAGAGAGGCCTGTAATATTCATCATAAGTACACGTCAACTATGACAGACAAAATGAGAAATTTTTTCTCCAGAAAATCACATTGTAGGATTTTTTATGAATTTATTTGCAAATTATGGTGGAAAATAAGTATTTAGTCAATAACAAAAGTTTCTCAATACTTTGTTATATACCCTTTGTTGGCAATGACACAGGTCAAACATTTTCTGTAAGTCTTCACAAGGTTTTCACACACTGTTGCTGGTATTTTGGCCCATTCCTCCATGCAGATCTCCTCTAGAGCAGTGATGTTTTGGGGCTGTCGCTGGGCAACACAGACTTTCAACTCCCTCCTATGGGGTTGAGATCTGGAGACTGGCTAGGCCACTCCAGGACCTTGAAATGCTTCTTACGAAGCCACTCCTTCGTTGCTTGGGCGGTGTGTTTGGGATCATTGTCATGCTGAAAGACCCAGCCACGTTTCATCTTCAATGCCCTTGCTGATGGAAGGAGGTTTTCACTCAAAATCTCATGATACATGGCCCCATTCATTCTTTCCTTTACACGGATCAGTCGTCCTGGTCCCTTTGCAGAAAAACAGCCCCAAAGCATGATGTTTCCACCCCCATGCTTCACAGTAGGTATGGTGTTCTTTGGATGCAACTCAGCATTCTTTGTCCTCCAAACACGACGAGTTGAGTTTTTACCAAAAAGTTATATTTTGGTTTCATCTGACCATATGACATTCTCCCAATCCTCTTCTGGATCATCCAAATGCACTCTAGCAAACTTCAGACGGGCCTGGACATGTACTGGCTTAAGCAGGGGGACACGTCTGGCACTGCAGGATTTGAGTCCCTGGCGGCGTAGTGTGTTACTGATGGTAGGCTTTGTTACTTTGGTCCCAGCTCTCTGCAGGTCATTCACTAGGTCCCACCGTGTGGTTCTGGGATTTTTGCTCACCGTTCTTGTGATCATTTTGACCCCACATGGGTGAGATCTTGCGTGGAGCCCCAGATCGAGGGAGATTATCAGTGGTCTTGTATGTCTTCCATTTCCTAATAATTGCTCCCACAGTTGATTTTCTTCAAACCAAGCTGCTTACCTATTGCAGATTCAGTCTTCCCAGCCTGGTGCAGGTCTACAATTTTGTTTCTGGTGTCCTTTGACAGCTCTTTGGTCTTGGCCATAGTGGAGTTTGGAGTGTGACTGTTTGAGGTTGTGGACAGGTGTCTTTTATACTGATAACAAGTTCAAACAGGTGCCATTAATACAGGTAACGAGTGGAGGACAGAGGAGCCTCTTAAAGAAGAAGTTACAGGTCTGTGAGAGCCAGAAATCTTGCTTGTTTGTAGGTGACCAAATACTTATTTTCCACCATAATTTTCAAATAAAGAAATTAAAAATCCTACAATGTGATTTTCTGGTAAAAAGTTTCTCAATTTGTCTGTCATAGTTGACGTGTACCTATGATGAAAATTACAGGCCTCTCATCTTTTTAAGTGGGAGAACTTGCACAATTGGTGGCTGACTAAATACTTTTTTCCCCCCACTGTATATAGCGGTGTGACTATCGCTAGTGCTGTTGTGGTCATGCTGACCGCTAGCTCTGTAACACTATACAGGCTCCTCTTGTGCTGATGGTCGCGTAGCAGTTATGTGGTTGTGTGTTTAGAGTTTAACGTGAGTGTTTCTGTTTTGAGGCTTTAGAGCCAAAACAGCCTGCTCTGGCTGTGGTTTGTCTGCTTGCTCGCTTGTTCTGTCATTCTGTCCATGTGTTTTTACTGCTGCCCTGAGACTGTCCTCACTTCTCAGGGAGCTGCGGGCAGTGGCACAGCCTTACTACGGGCACTTACAGCAATACCCTGAGGAACCATTACTCAACTAGAGAGCCAGCCGTGGTTAGGCGTACATCTGTGACAGGCAGTTGGTGGAGGGTGAGGAGAGGCACACTATCTGATGCACATTGGCTTACACCAAACTCATTTCATTGAGGGTAGTGTCTGCTTGTTTTATATCCTTTCAATTTGTGTCCAATTAACACCTAGACAACCAGGTGAGGGGAGTTAATACAAATGAGTGTCCTTGATTGATCAATTAAGTACAAGGGAGGCGTGAACGTGCACACACAGCCCTCCATGGAATGAGTTTGACGCCTGTGGCTTAGTCTTTGTGGTGTGGAATATATGTAAATATTTAAGGGTTATCAGATCTGCGTCAGACCTACAAAGCGTCCACGATTCACACAGAATGGGGCTTAATTACGCATCTCTTTCTCAATCGACTTCTATTACACCGTCGACTTCTATTACATCCAGGCTCTGTCGCAGCCGGCCGCGACTGGGAGACTCATGGGCGGCGCACAATTGGCCCAGCGTCGTCCAGGGTAGGGGAGGGAATGGCCGGCAGGGATGTAGCTCAGTTGATAGAGCATGGCATTTGCAACGCCAGGGTTGCGGGTTCGATTCCCACGGGGGGCCAGTATAAAAAAAGATGTATTCACTAACTGTAAGTCGCTCTGGATAAGAGCGTCTGCTAAATGACTAAAATGTAAAATGTAAATGTAATGGTTGAGACGCCAAGACTTACTCTTATCACATCCAAACTACTTTCTTTATCTTCCAATGACATAGGATCCACCAGTCTATCAAACAGTACATTTCTGTACTTTTACAAAGTATTTAACATTGGCCTCAGACAGAACAAAACACACTCCCTGCTCTGTCAGAAGGATAATGTTTAGCTTTAGTGACTCCACTCCATTGGTCAGGTGGCAGAAGGCACACGATACAAGTCTGATTGTTAAGTAAATGTGTAAATGAATATCTAAATCTGTTCCATTTTTTTCCAGATGAGGAAAAGAAGCTTGTGGAGGAGGTGTTCAACAATGCTGTAGACTGTCTGTCAGACGACGACAAGAAGCTGCCTCAGGTGAGTACTTCTCATAGATTTATTTGAAAATATGCTGGACAAAATATGAATGCAACATACAATTTCAACGATTTTACTGAGTTAAAGTTCATATAAGGAAATCAGTCAATTGAAATAAATTCATTAGGCCCTAATCTATGGATTTCACATGAATGGGCAGGGGCGCAGCCATGGATGGGCCTGGGAGGGCATAGGCCCACTCACTTGGGAGCCAGGCCCACGCACTGAGGAGCCAGGCCCAGCCTATCAAAATGTGTTTTCCCCCACAAAAAGGCTTTATTACAGACATAAATACTCCTCAGTTTCACCAGCTGTCCTGGTGGCTGGTCTCAGACGATCCTGCAGGTGAAGAAGCCAGATGTGGCGGTCCTGGGCTGGCGTGGTTACATGTGGTCTGCGGTTGTGAGGCCGGTTGGACGTACGGCCAAATTCTCTAAAATGAAGTTGGAGGTGGCTTATGGTAGACAAATGAACATTCTTATGGTAGACAAATGAACACTCTGGCAACAGCTCTGGTGGACATTCCTGCAGTCAGCATTCCAACTGCATGCGCCCTCAACTTGAGACATCTGTGGTATTGTGTTGTGTGACACAACTGCACATTTTAGTGGCCTTTATTGTCCCCAGCACAAGGTGCACCTGTGGAATGATCATGCTGTTTAATCAGCTTCTTGATGTGCCTGTCAGGTGGATGGATTATCTTGGCAGAGGAGAAATGTTCACTAACAGGGATGTAAACACATTTGTGCACAACAGTTGAGAGAAATAAGCTTTTTATGCATATGTAAAATGTATCTGTGATCTTTTATTTCAGCTCATGAAACATGGGACCAACACTTTGGATGTTGCGTTTATGTTTTTGTTCAGTATACATATAGCCACTTCAGCCAGAGGCAACATATTAAGGATTACCACAGCAAAGCTCAAATAAAATAAAATACAATTTTGTTTGTCACATGCAACAGGTGACACAACCTTACAGTGAAATACTTACTTACAAGCCCTTAACCAACAATGCAGTTTTAAGAAAAATAACTTAAAAATTAAAGAGCAGCAATAAAATAACAGTAGCGAGGGGGTACCGGTACAGAGTCAATGTGCGGGGGCACAGGTTAGTCAACGTAATTGAGGTAATATGTACATGTAGGTAGAGGTAAACGAATTGCAAAAATCTCTGAAGCTGGAGACTTATCTCCCTCACTAACTTTAAGCATCAGTTGTCAGAGCACCTTACCGATCACTGCACCTGTACACAGCCCATCTGAAATTAGCCCAACCAACTACCTCATCCCCATATTGTTATTTATTTTGCTCATTTGCAACCCAGTATCTCTATTTGCACATCATCTCTTGCACATCTATCATTCCAGTGTTAATACTAATTGTAATTATTTTGCACTATGGCCTATTTATTGCCTTACCTCCATAACTTGCTACATTTGCACACACTGTATATATATATTTTCTGTTGTATTTTTGACTTAGTTTTGTTTTACCCCATATGTAACTCTGTTGTTTTTATCGCACTGCTTTGCTTTATCTTGGCCAGGTCGCAGTTGTAAATGAGAACTTGTTCTCAACTGGCTTACCTGGTTAAATAAAGGTGAAATAAAAAGTGACTATGCATAGATAATAAACAGAGTAGCAGCAGCGTCATTTTGGTGGTCCTCATACTCTGGTTAGTTGAATGTGACGGTACACCTGGGGTCTTATCCCCACATTGACTGTTCACACACACAGAGAGAAAGCAGCCTGATTTGCTTGTTTGGAATAAGGGCTGTTGTCACTTAAATCAGTGATTTGGTAGCCTTCTTCTGGCGCCTTGTAAGCCATTAAAAACGTTCCCCATTTCCTTCAGCGACCTTTTATGGACTAAGCTCTCATCACGCTAAGCTTTTAACTGCTGTGAAGCGTCACTATTTCATACACGCCTCAACCATTTTATACGCACAACGCAATGTCAATAGAGGCACCAGGAATGCGTCTCCCATCGCGTTGAACGCCACTAATAAAGAAGTCTGTGAAAATTGGGTCTCCTTGCTGTTTGTGGTTGTCTGTGAATATCATAACCACACCACTTAAGCCACAGCAAAGAGCAACCTGAATATGAGAGCTTGTTCTGAAATGGCTCCGCTCAGTGACATGGTGAGGTATTTTGGATGTTCTAAAAGTCGTCTTTTAAGAGGGCGCTGTAAAAGTTTCCACTCTTTTTGTGGCTCCCGCTGGTGGCACACACACACACAGTATTTTCGTTTCCCTTAATGCCGTATGTTCATGCTGTATTGGATTTGTTCTCCTGTGCAGTTGTTTCTCATAGTGTAGTTTCATTAGACTCAGCGGTGGGCGTTGGTGTGTTGTGTAGTACAGGTGCAAGGAGAAGGCTGCTACGCTATGAAAGCCGGCTCAGCAGGCTTGTTAATGGTCACAAGCATGTGTGATCGTGGCTCTGCTAGGGTCAGAGGAGGACAGACACATTATTTCCATTGTCCGTGAGATGGATGGCTGGCTCATGCTAGTGTGAGCAGTTTTTGTATACATTTGATCTGACTTGATTGTTGTATAGCTTCACTTTGATTTATATTGTAGTTTGTGCCAGCTTTGGCTTTGTTGTGCTGTCTTTGGCATATCTTTGTGCTATCTTTGACAAGAAATGTGTTATTAATCAAATGTCTGATTATTCTTGCTATGTGTTTCCAGGTGGAGCACGTCCTGCCTCTACTGAAGAGGGGTATAGGTATTCATCATGGAGGACTGCTCCCCATCCTAAAGGAAACCATCGAGATCCTGTTCTCTGAGGGGCTACTCAAGGTAGTCTGGAACTCACCTGGATCTCACTTTGAATTATACCAACTGTTGTCATTCACTAGTTACCCTTTTCACACTATGGCTCTGACCCCAACCATTCTGTGCTGGCTCGGATATTGTCCTTTCCAGCACGGTTCCAGCAACTATTATGGCCAGTACAGCTCTGCTCATCTCAGCTCGGTAGTGTGAAAAGGCTGTAACCCGAAGGCCTTCCTTTGTGTTTCAATAGGAGTGAGTGTGCTAAATGTGACATTATCCTCTCTCCACAGGCCTTGTTCGCCACGGAGACCTTTGCCATGGGCATCAACATGCCCGCCCGCACCGTCCTGTTCACCAGCGCACGCAAGTTTGACGGCAAAGACTTCCGCTGGGTAACACTCCTTTTTAAAAAGTCTACTGTTACTTACTTAGCTACTACTTAATCATTAGGGATTTAAAGATTCACAGATATGCATCGGTCCTGGTTATTAGGGTTATGAGTGCATCGGTCCTCGGGATCCCAAACCGTCGGTTAGGAAATCGCTGGTCAAAGCCAGAGAAGAAGAGAAGCTCACTCTGAGTCGGTCAACTTCCAAACGGTCTAAACCATTCGATTATAAGATGGGGTGAAATCCAAACTTGTGCTATATAGTCATTGACTATGTCATAGCACATTTTTAAAGATGCATATTGATACATTACACTTTTAATCTGCAAAAATGACAAATTAATTAGCGGGAGATGTCAGATCAAAAGTGTGTGTGTGGGGGGGGGCGGGGGGCATCAGCAGCAGATGTATTTTTTATTATTATTATTTTAGCAGATTTGAATTTAGAATGGAAAATGTTAGTGCATCGAATCATATTGAACCGAATCTCATCGATCCTCTAATCAAACCGAATTACACTGAATCGGTTCAAACTAAAACGTATTGTTCCTGTATCGTATCGGAGCCCATGTATGTAGATATGTATCAAATGGTTTTTGAAAGGGAAAGATGCACACCCCTATTAATAATCTTAGTTCATGGAGGAACATAGGACCTGTACATAGTGCACTGTACTGTCGTCGTATTCCCCCTCCAGTCAATGAAGTGTCCAGTTGATCTTCCAATATTCCCAATCTGTCCTGTTTAACTGGCTAAATCCAGGACTGTGATTGTGCCACGTTAGTAAAGACAGGGTCATATCATTTATGTCAGTGACTGACTGACTCCTCATGGGGACATTTTATTCATTACACAGTTTCATCTAGGGCTTTATCAACATTTTAAGCTAAACATTATGATCCGTTGTGTCAGCCTCATTACTTAAATGTTTTTTGATGCTAGTGGTTGTATTAATTTGGGATCTATCGCATCCCACAACTGTCACAGACTATGTTTGTAATATTTATTTCTCGCACAGAATAGAATACAATGTGGGATAGTAGATGGACATAGGGTTTTACTGTTCGTTAGGCCTACTCATCTTGTTGGCTGATAAAGTAAATGTGGACAGTTCTTAATTTTTTCTGTATGTGCCTCGCAATTTGATAAGAACGCATGCAGTTGCGTCCCCGTTGTATCCATCTTCACTTGTAGCCTGTGAAAAAGACCCGATCACGTGACGGAGAGCCATGTGAGAGAGATGTGCTCCCAGTGCTCCCGGTGCGCCCAGCCGGGAGAAGGGAATTATGATTATTATATTCAGCCCAAGGGCACAACGGCCACTGGCTGCAAAAGGCATGGATTTTTTTAGGGGGCATTACGGCCACACAAAGGTGATGCTGCAGGGAAATTCGAGGCATTATCAAGTGCTTGTCAAATTGTGAATGAGCGACTGATGAAGTGTGTACAGCCTGCGCAAAAACAAAGCAGAGCTCATGCCTTTCATGCAACTTTTTTCAAATCATCATTAGTCTCATCATGCAGCCTTAGAATGTATTAAAAATCTAAACATATAGCCCAGCATTTGTATCACAGCTAAAGTTACATAAATAACTAAATTAAGTGTATAGGAATACTTGTTTCTTTGTTAAACCACTCAACACAAAATAGCCGCATGTGCACACACACTCAAATACTTTGGAGAAAATATCCTTTCTATTTTATTCAGCTATGTTCAATTGTTTTCTTCATACTATAAAATAATGCCACGGAATTCTAAGCAAATCTTGTCTGCTAAATGAACTAGTGTAGCCCACAGCCATATGGCATAGCCAGATCAGGGCCTAACATAAGGCAACCTCAGAGTATCCTATTCTGTTCTTCTGAAATAGACTAGATTTTCTTCATATAATGTTTCTTTAGACCTGTCTAAAATAAATAATGGATTTATTGTGGTGGATTTATTAGACTTTTTTAAATGTAGACGTTCCAATGGTCTGCATCAGTGGCTTGTAGGCTATGCGTGGAAGCCAGGAGATGCAAAATGTGTTTATGTTAATTAGCGGTTGATTACCGTGAGACCGGCAGTTATTTGCTTGACAATCACCGGCTGACAAAATTTCATGACCGCCACAGCCCTAGTTTCATCACTCCCTGGAATGATTAATAGCCATCATTAGGTTTGGATAAACACAATACAGATGTCTCTATCTGAGTAATCCCTGCTATGTTGTAACCAGACTGACGGATGAACCAAGGGTTGATGTAGTGCAGAGTTCTCTCTTTCTGTCTCTGTCTGACTGACTCCTCATCTTGAGGCTTCCTCATCATTTCCGCTGTGTGTGTGATGCCTTTATAAAGCCATGGCGGGAGCCAGTGAGGCTCTGATGTAAGATAAACAGCCACGTATTGTTTATGTGTGGAGCTGGGTGCCACAGGGACAGTCGTGAATCAAGCTGTTTGGAATAAAAGGGCTAGATTATTACCCCTTTGGCTCGGGGATGGGGAGAGAGAGGGGGAGAGAGAGGGAGAGAAGAGCGATTTGCTAGATAGAAAGAGGAGCGGAAAGAGAGAGGTGGAGGAAAGAGAGAAGGGAAGCGGCTGTCCAAGAGGCTCGCGAGGAACATCTGGTGTGGGAGAACTGATGCCAGAACACCACGCATGCAGTCAAGGCCTTACCCTCCCTCTCTCGCTCCATCCCTCCCTCCCTCACAAAGCAAAAGGGAGAGATCCAGGGCCCCTTCACGGGGTGACTGCCCCTTCTTAGCTCCTCTCTCGCTCTGTCATGGTGTGTGTGCGTCTCTCAGAGATTTAAGGAGAGAGTACAACCCCGTGCCAGTGTTAAAATCAGGACCAAATGTTGTAGTGCACCAACAATGCCCAAGAGATTAGGCTTGAATCTGCTTGACAAAGGCATGAACGGAACTGTTTGGATTTGCTAGTTCGTGGCAGAGCTTGTAATGTTTATAAGTCAGACACCAAATGGAATCTGGTGATTAATCAGGGCCATGTGTGGCAGGCAGCGTTAGTAAAGCAGAGGGTTTAAAAGCCAAGTGGCCGTTCCAGCTCTTCTCCATGTTGATGTTCTGAAGAGGTGTTGGTGCACGTTGCAACTAGCGCTGGCACAATTACCGTATAGCCTACGGTTATTTTTACTATTTTCTACATTGTGGAATAATAGTGAAGACATCAAAACTATGAAATAACACATATGGAATCATGTAGTAAAAAGTGTTAAACAAATCAAAATATATTTTAGATTCTTCAAAGTAGCCACCCTTTGCCTTGATGACAGCTTTGTACACACACAATCCATGTCTCAGTTCTCTCAAGGCTTAAAAATCCTTCTTTAACATGTCTCCTCCCCTTCATCTACACTAAACAATCTAGCTTTAGGAACAAACCCCCGCTCAATGTTCTGGCTCATATTTGTTTCAGAAGAATGCATTTCACCTCTAAAAGAGAATCGTCATTGTTTGAGTAAATTTATCTGATTCAGTACACATTTCTAATGACGATTAGGCCAAATAGTTTGCCTTCTGTCATTGATACTAGCTAGCTACACACTTCCAAACTACTTCTCCCACACAAAAGATGTCCATGCCTGTGTGAATATTGACGTGGCTGCTATTTGAGTGTGTGTCTGTGAGCGAGCAAGCCTGTGTGTTTGAAAGATGTGACTATTATTAGTGACAATGTTAATGTGTTGTGCTCTGCTCTCTTTCGCGCTCTCTCTCTCTGTTAGATCACGTCTGGCGAGTACATCCAGATGTCAGGTCGAGCTGGCAGGAGAGGGATGGACGAGAGGGGTATCGTCATCTTCATGGTGGATGAAAAGATGAGCCCTGCAGTGGGGAAACAGCTGCTTAAGGTACTGACTAAACACACAATGCACGCTGTGGCTTTAAAAAGCAGCTGTGTGTGTGTGTCATTTTCATACAGATGGATCATCCTCATAACTTTTCTCCCATGTGTGTACGTACAGTATGTCAATAGACACATGAATGATTGGGATGCCTGCAGGGTTTGCATTGATCTGATATATGTTTTTGACGTTTTATGAGTCCTACAAGACCTAGTAGTCCAGTTGTAAGAAGACTTTCAGCACCAGATCATTAACTCTTGAATCTTGCACTAATCCTAACCCCTGCTGGGATGATGTCACAATGGTTCTCGGGCCTAGTGTTTTTAAAAGGACGCAGTCCTCCCCTCCACACACTGTCCGAGTGACATACAGGCTCTATGAATGATTGCACAGAGGGGGGTAGAGAGGGTAAGGGTTTTACAAGCACAACCTGAGCCAAGAACCCTAATATCCTCCTGAGCCACAGTAATGGAGTGAGTCAGTCGTTTTGGGGTTCTCAACTGGGTCACAGAGCTACTTCCTGACCCTCAGGTCATTTACACACACACACACACACACACACACACACACACACACAGTCTACCGAATCGCATCGTTAAGAGAGCTGTTCATTTGGCTCCCTAATTTGCATACTGCTAGGCGATTATCTGCAGATAAATTATGAAAACATTCAATGAAGATGGTGAATCCTCCTCACTGCAGGAACAATTCATAGGCTAGTGGATCAATAGCCTCACTCTGGTCCAAAATATGATAAAAGAAAACAGATTGAATTGTTTTAAAAGCTAATGTTTCTAATATGGTATTTTCAAAGAATGATATATATCATTGATTTAATCAAAGTGTTGACAATGGGGGTAGTCAACTGCTGCTTTCTGTGTAGCAAAGCCCATGATTAACACCTGTTTCGTTCTTCAATTATACCGGTATTGCAGATAGCTGAGAAAATTATTTCACTAATTTAACTGACGTCGTTCTATCTCTTCTCTGAACATGTATGGACCCAGAACTTAATTGAGCATCTGTTCTGTTTATTTTAGAGACCCATTTTTCCATTAGAAAGTGCCCATCACACAGTTTATTTGAAATGTTACCTTTTTATTTTTTCACAATAGTTTGGGCTATTTACTAAATTGTTCTGTTTTAATAAAATGCATAATTTGAAGAACAAACATAATTGTGGCAATTCATTCCTTGCAGTAAAATACTTTAATTTCAAGCAAAGACTGGTTAAATGTCGTAAAGGCCTAGACGATATCCCAAAAAGTGAACAATACACTGAATTCATACATTTTCAGTATTTGAAATTGTAAACACAATACCACAACAAATTTGTCCAATCTGTGAGGTAAACTCAACAATAAAGTATTCAATAATTTAGCTGTGTATTTCGGATGGAATGAAGGCATTAGAATGTACCAGAGGTCACCAAAATAGAGCTTGTTCGGCAAACAATTCTTAAACCCGCGGGGGGCTGACCCCCTAGGGGGTCCTGGCTGGCTACTCCATGTGCTTGTGGAAAACACATGACAGATTCATTGCAGATAGTGAAATTTGTCTCATTTTAAATGAATTATCTGGAGTAGATCTCATTTATCTTCTTACTGTACTGTTGTAATCGCTTTCTGGAAATCATAACTAAAGGATATGTTTTGATTGCGAAAGAAAGATTCTGCGAAAATCAAACTGCCCTTGGCTTCATAGACAAGTGGTCTCAAACAGTTCCTTGGATAATACAACTTTTCTGTCGTAATGTGATTTCACAATTTGTTACATTTAGTCCCTCACCATCAGCTTATGTTGATTTTAATGATTGCCAAACTCCATGTTCATGTTTCAGTCCCTAACTAGAAGATTTGTCAGAATAGGACATGATGACAATGTTTGACTGATTCATGGTCTTAAGTTTAAACTGTTCCATGAGTTGCTCAGCTATCCTTAGGACATGCATTGAATCAGGGTTAACCAAACACTCCATTTCAATTCAGTCAATTGATGAAGTAATCTGAAATTCCAATGTTCCTCATTGAAAAGCATGACTTGGGTCTTTTGTACCATACGTTCACTGAGTTACTCAGCTTTCCTTATGACATGAGTGTGTCTTTTGAATGATCAGCTGAATGACCATCTTCTCCCCTGCTCCACCTGAGCTACAACATCGTGCTCAACCTGCTGATACGTACCTATCGGTCTAAACCTGACCTCCTCTCTCCTGTCTTCTCCTTTCTCTCCCCAGGGCTCGGCAGACCCTCTGAACAGTGCCTTCCATCTCACCTACAACATGGTTCTCAACCTGCTGCGAGTGGAGGAGATCAACCCGGAGTACATGCTGGAGAAGTCCTTCTACCAGTTCCAACACTACAGGGCTGTGCCCGGGGTCGTAGAGAGTGAGTCCAGATAAGGCCATCTACTCAAGTCCTATATTTGGCTCTCAACCTCTCCATTGGTTGGGAATTCCCCTGCTAGTGGTGCTTTATGCAAGTGAATAGACCAGATTGATTCAGTAGACTGTTCTGATGATTTGGTTTGTCCAAATATAGTACGAGCAGAGCTTTGTGAAGGCTTGTTTGATGTCGCCTAGTTGTTGGTGTATAATTGACCATCTTAACGCTAGGAGAGCCAAGAGCGTTGACTCAAGCCAAATGTACTTTTTAAATTACTCTACAATGTCCACCGCCCGTTCTTGACTTTTCCTGAATACGTCTATTTAAAACACTGTCATTGTTAGAATCTTAATATCACAAACAGAATGTGTTTATAAGCAGTTTTTAAGAGAACATGTCATTTCTTCCCACTGCCCCTCATTCACAGCAAGTCATTCACTGGCAGTCAGCCTGCGCAGCTGATGGCCCATCGAAACTACACCTAAACTATATCGAAACTAATTTCACACATATAATAATAGTTAGCCTAAAAACAAGATTAAATTGACAATCGTCTGATTGGTGAGAATATGATCAATTGTCAAGTTGTATATGAAGAATCTGATTAGCAGTGCACCTTGGAATTGACACAGAGGCAGGTAAACGGAGCGCCAAAAAGTTACTCCTAGTCACTGGCAGGTAAGACGTTTTGATGTCTGTATAGTATCAAAAAGAGCAGATTCTGCAGTTTCCAAATCACCTATCCTTGCCAAACAACGAAAATGACCCTGTGAGCTCTATTTCAAAATATAACTTTTTGGCAGAATCTCCGCAATTCCGTGAACTTGCAACACACAGTAATTTTTGCAATAGCATATATTAAATGTATTTATTAGAATGTTGAAGTTCAAAAGACGCGTCATTGGCCCTAAGGGGGGGTGGGGGTGGGGGGGGGGGGGTCAATCGAGGTTAGGCTTTTCTAGTGTTAACGCCTCGTATATATCATGCATCGGTGTGAGCTGCTATTTTTAGCTGCTCGTTCCATACTGTTGACCAGAATTACTAGAACGGGATTCCCCACTCTAGTAATGTGCATTCCCATTCTAGTAATTATATTTCAATGTGTATGACTGACTTTCCTCTGATGTCCACAGAGATGGCGAAGCTGGAAGAGATGTATAACGCCATAGAGATCCCCAACGAGGAGAGTGTGGTGACCTACTATAAGATTCGCCAACAGCTGGCCAAACTGAGCAAGGAGATAGAAGAGTTCATCCACAAACCAAAATACTGCCTTCCCTTCCTCCAGCCTGGCAGACTGGTCAAGGTTAGAGACCAAACTACTCATACCACCAACTCAAATACTTACTATGTAGCACAACCCAAAGACAAAATGTACACCACCATTCTTCATCTTTTTGTCTTTATGTGCTGTTCAAAAGGGCTTACACAGATAAAATTCATTATGTAAACTTAGTTTTTCTCAGATAAGGAACTATATGAGTGTTTGTTGTACATATAGATGTGCCTATAAATGTTGACCTATTTTTCAGGTCAAAAACGAAGATGCTGACTTTGGATGGGGCGTGGTTGTTAATTTCTCAAAGAAGGCAAATGTGAAGGTACTTTTTATAAGTTGAATGTTATCAGAAAGTATCTGTAGTTACTTTTAATACAAAAGTTATGTTTTCACAATGTAGATAAACCTTGTGTTATAGCTTGTGTTTATATAGCATGTGTTTTGGACTCTGTGTTTATGCATTTGTTGTCCTTCAGGTTAGCACATAATGCTTAGTGTTGCACCCATGTTGAGTATATGTGATGGTTTCCCTCCAGGCCATTATGGGTGATGCAGACCCTCTATATGTGGTAGAGGTGCTGGTCCACTGCAGTAAGGAGAGTGTGAAGAACACAGCTACAGAGGCTGCCAAACCTGCTGCCGCTGGGGAGAAGGGAGAAATGCAGGTGTGTACATGATGGGAGACGACATGGTTCCGTCAGAAATGGCTCCCAAGTGCAGTGGTTCCCCCTCCAAAAAACGTTTTTTTTTTAAGGATCTCAGGCTTTCAACTTACTCTTAAAAGTTGTAATAGTAGAATGCACAAGGTGCAATTTTGAAATTGGGTATTGCATCAGCAGTTTTCCTCTTGTCATGTCAGTCATTGCAGACCTTGGAGAGCTATTTATAACTTGTCAGAAATGTCCAGATCATCTTGCCCATAGTTACTGTTGTAATGTTTGAGTCACTCAGATATCACATGAACACACATAAGACATGGCAAAATGTGTAGAATTGCAGGAAATTGGCTTTAAAATGGGAAATAAATATATCCACCCCAGGGTGAAATGTATAGAATTGCAGGGAGAAAAAATACGTGGCGTGGGATGTTCCCCAATGATGGAAGGGCCAGTGAAAAAGTTTGGCAACCACTACCCTAGTGCACTACTTTTGACCCTATATGGCCTCACACAGAGTCAAAAGACCTGATGGGTTGCCAATTCAGACATAGCCAATTCATTGCTGTGATAAAATAATACGACTGGACACTGTGTACTCCTGGTTTGGTGGTCTGCCGCAGGATGGAATCCAACATTGAAGTGGTTGGTTCTAGAATGTAGACCACACACAAGTCATTATGTGAGCGGTTACTACACTGTAACTGTCCTTGAGACTGAAGGAAATCAAACATGGCCAAGTCGTTAATGGTCATACTGCTGCTGTGCTGTGTCCTAGAGCTTCCCTTTAACTTAAAGCAACAACCACATAATGAAATGGAACACTATTATATCTCGATGGCAACATCTCTTGTTTTCAAGAGAAATTAGCTCGTATGCTATGTCATTAGAGTTATCTTATACAGTATCTTCATGCTCACATTGAAACACCATAAATGGTGTGGTCGGGATGGATACCCCTCGTTTAAAACATGTATTTATTTTCCTTTGGTTTTGTAACCCTCCATTTAATATAAACACCATTCAAACTTTGAGACTTCTCTCAGTTTAGGTTCATATTCAGTCACATGGGCACAGACACTTATTTTTTAAATCTTATTTCATCCCTCTCTTTCTCTCCCCTCGCTCTCTCTCCCCCCCTTGCTCTCTCTGTCTCCCCCTCACTATATCGCCTGTCCTCTACCCAAATAGCCACCAGACCTGGGTTCAAATACTGTTTGAATCATTTCAAATACTGTATCTGTGCTTAATTGAGCTTGCCTGTTGCAGTGGAACCAATAGAAAACTCTCACATCTACAACACTCGCCCACCTGGCACTCCAGGCAGGCTAAATCAAACGCTCAAAGAATTTGAAAATTTCAAGTACTATTTGAACCCAAGTTTGCCAAATACCATTCAATTAAACTGCTGCTTCTTTTAATGCCTGTGCAAGTTTCCTCCATTTTGCGCTAGTCCCTTTAGAGTCCGTGTCTTGTTATTTAGTGCAGTCCTCTTGTCCTAAACTCCTCTGTGACCTCTGTCTAGATCAAGATGACTTTAGCTGCCTGCCTGTCTCTCGTCTCGTATTATTCTTCCAAATCTCGGAGGAGCCTTTAAACTCTAGCTGAAAAGCTGTCTGGCCCTGCTCTCTGGGCTCGCTCCTGCAAAACCGTTACGATGAATCCCTCCACATTCTCTCCCCTCCACTGTCAAAGTACGGCAAAGTCCCTCTCTCCCCAAGCTCTTCTAGCTCCTCTGTAGCCTGTGCCGTCTGTATCTGGCAGTGTGTGGACTGGAGGGATCTGCAGGCCAATATCCAGTGGCCTTTCTTGCATGAAGAAGTACAGGCTAGGGGATCAAATTTGATTTAAATGAAGAGGTTGATTAGTTGAATCGGGTGTTCTGCAGTTTGTGCCAATGTACAGATCCCTTAGACTTGTAGACATAGCAGCAGTCAGGATTGCATCTTGGTTCTGTATAAAACCCCATTTAGTAAGTGTTCAGGATCTCCTGAGTCAGTCAATGATGATAGCTATGATGACAGCTACAATGTTGGATACAAAGTAAATAGATACAAATATGATTGTATAATAACAGTATACATAAAGTGATATACTAATATACTTCTGTCCATTTGGATTGTTTCTGATCAGGTGGTTCCTGTGATGCTCCGCCTCCTGACCTCCATCAGTTCAGTCCGTCTCTACATCCCCAAAGACCTGCGGCCTTATGACAACAGACAGAGCATGCTCAAATCCATACAGGTGAGAACCAGGGATGCAAACTCGTCACTTTTTGGCAATATTTGCCGTTTTGATCTCAAAATAGGCCATCCACATGAATCGTGTAGTCTACACGATCTGGGGGGGGGGGGGGGTCTGACGAAAAATGAGCAGATGCAGTGCATCACCCATTGAGCTATAAAAGAGAAAAGTGAACAGATCTTCTCCCTGTGTGATCACTAAATAATGGTGTATGTTTCTCATATCGAAATTAATGACTGAGCACAATACGTCCCTACGCGTCCTACAAATTGAATATCAGATATGTCATATCAGAATGAGTGCTTCATCCAATATCACGTGACAGCTGTCACCAGCCAGCCTCATCCCCTACCAGCCATTAGGCAATCAGCTGCTTCTGTCTGTTCTTTCTCCGCATCTCCATCTATTTTCAAATGTTATTTAGCCGTGATGGCAAGCTGCGGTGTGCAGTCCCCTGTAGCTCAGTTGGTAGAGCATGGCGCTTGCAACGCCAGGGTTGTGGGTTCGTTTCTCACGGGGGGCCAGTATGAAAAATGTATGCACTCACTTAACTGTAAGTCGCTCTGGATAAGAGCGTCTGCTAAATGACTAAAATGTAAATGTAAAATGCAGACAGTGATGGGGTTTCTGTTACATTTGTTTAATTATTGGAGCAGATTGCACACGTATCTTTTCATTTCGCCTGTAAGAGCGAGCACGCCTGTCTGGCGAGGCTTCGTTGTCACGCAGCCTCTGAGTGCCATAGAGGAAAAACGGAGCACAATGAGAGTCATGCTTGCGCCTTTACATCACTGAAAAACGTGAGTTTCTAGTCCACAAGTTTTACTGGAGCTTCCTTCTCCCCTTTTTACTGTGAATCAGGGCACATTTGTTATATACTTTTATAAACCATGTAGCGGGCCGCTTTAAACTAATCGCGGGGTGCGGGTTTTGGGTTTGATAACAAACAAGCTTGTTTAGTCATGTTACATGGCTTGCTAGCTAACAACGTGGTACCATGGCTATGCACATTTGGATGGCACAGGTAAAACAGAAAAAGGATAGATGGCCTGCTCAAAGAGATGCTTCAAAGGTAGGATGCATTTACAATGCGTTACAATTTTTATGTAATTCTAAGCTAAATCAGAATGAAAAAATCTATCTTTTTCTGGTGTTCCTTAAATTCTGTTTAGTGCCTAACTTTTGGGAGCGTTGTGTGTGTGAAAGTGGTGTGAGAGAGAAAGGATGTGTGTTAGCGAGGGGGGGGGGGGGTGGTCTGTGTGTAATGTTGACTGAAGAGTATGCTAAAGATGGTTTCATATAGGCCTAGTGTGTTTTCCCTATACTACCACAATGAAAATGCAGATCATTATGCATTTATATTCCTCACTACATTCCTCCTGCCCAATCACAGGTAGGCCTTTGGATATGAGCAAATCAGATATTTTCTGCAGTAGTGTTTTCTATTATACATTTAGTGTGAAGTTAAATTCAATGTGTTGAATTGAGTTGAGATGTGAATATCAGGGACAGGTGTTTGTGCAGCACACATGCAGAACATATAGAAAATGGGAATACTACTCGGTATGGTGATACATGGCCTGGTATCACATCATTAGTAAAATGTTGGTATTGTGGCAACCCCACTTTTTGGGCCCTCACCAGTTTGCATTCCTGGAGAACACACCACAGTGATAAATATTTATCAAAGCTACTCGGAGACGTAGGCTCTATTTCAATCGTTTTTTCTTAAAAATCGGTCCTTCGCTAGTGTAATAAAAGAAAACCGGCGAGGAGAAGATGGATGTTTTTAGACAATTGAGAAAGAGCCTTGGTGTAATACAGAGGTTGCATGGGACATAGGTGACTGTTTTATATATCATTTAGATATATTTATTATATTTGTCAACGGTTATCAAAGGCTTTCTCATGCTTCATTCTCTGGTCCTGTCCCCACCACACAGGAGGTGCAGAAGAGGTTCCCGGATGGCGTTCCCCTGCTGGACCCCATCGATGACATGAGCATTAAGGACCCGGGCCTGAAGAAGGTCATCCAGAAGGTGGAGGCGTTTGAACACAGGATGTACTCCCACCCCATGCACTCTGACCCCAGCCTGGAGGCCGTCTACTCCCTCTGCGAGAGGAAAGCCCTGGTGAGGATGGGTGGGGTGGTGGTATTTGGAATGGTTGGTTGGTTCATGTCCTGTAGGGCCACACTGCCCAGTGTATGGCTCGGACCATATAATGTTCTGTCAGTAGTGATTGGCATGGCAATGGGGCTATGATGAGGGGTTTGTTTTGTGGATAGGTTGGGGTTCAAGAAACTTTATTGACTTTGACAAAAAGTATTTGAATGATTGTGAACATTGTATTTTTCTGTTGACGTAAATCAAAGCTTGTGTACTATATCCTCCAAGCGCCCACACACCAAGGCTTGTTTTTTTCAGTCACTTACGTAGATCTAGCCTAAATCAGAACCATTGTGTTTTTGGTCCCTTCCTGTCCGTCTGAGCTGGAAACGGTAATGTACTGACAGAAACAGACAGGGTGTGGTGAAGGACAATATGCGATGGAAATGAGAACACTCTCATTCATCTAACTTTGGCAGAACATTCAGCACCAACCGACTGTACCTCTTTTAATTGGCTAGCTCTAAAATGCGAAGGAGGGAGATTTTTATGAAATAAGGAGTAAAGTTAATAGTTGTGTGGCCAAGTACCTGTGAGAGGATGAGTGTTAAAGATGCACTATGCAGAAATTGCTCTGCTATTTCCTGGTTACAAAAATTAAGAGTTCGCCTAATTTCAGTTTGTGTGAAAACAAGCAAGTATTGTGTATAGAATCATTGTACCATCTAAACCTCTGTGAAATATATTTTTCATAACCAGAAATATTGCATCTTTAGCTGTTTGAAGCTGGTGTACAAAACCGAAACTAAAAGACGCAAACACATAACTTAAGAACGGGAATCATAGAACATAGAACAGAGCTATTGCTTCTTAGACTTGCTTTCAATGAGAGGGACAGATTTATAACACCTTTCGATGTGAATTTGGTCGGGAAGCCCAAAAAGTTACATATTGCAGCTTTAAAGGAAAAATGTATCCAAAACCACCCATTTCTGTAATTTACAGTATTAAATGACACGATGTGAGAATAATATTTTTTGTGAACAAAGGTTTCATTTTGTCATAACTTTGGTAGCAACGTGAAAATCGTTGTGGAAATCTGTTGCAGTTCAAGTCGACTACAAAACCCACAATGCAATGCTCTCTATGGGCTGGCTAGCAAACATGGCTACATACAATAATACCAAAGACAATATCAGCATGTAAAGTAGCTAGTTAGCTGTAAAATCTCCTAAACAAACTGCACTATCAATTTAGGAGTCTACAATCTCACCAGGTTCAACCTGCAGATAGATGTGCCTCACAGAGTGGAGTTTGATGTTCACAGCGGCAATGCAAAGGCACCATACAATGCACCCTGGACTGAAGAGGCAGACAAATAGGAGAAATGTGCTGGGCCCTCTGTTAAATTACACATTTCTCAAGGTAGTAATATGGCAAAAATATGATCAATGACTCATTCCAGAGAAGACAACCTCCCGCGACATCGTCCAGTATTGCAATTTGATGTCCTATTAACTTCCAGTGTAGTGAGAGCAGCTTTATCACAATGATACGTCATACTGGCTGAATTTCTGGCTGCTTGAATGGCAATAACTCAGATATACATGAAATGACCCTGGAATCGATAGAACATCGCTCAGAGATGCACAAAAACAATATAGCATTCACGTGCGTAGCTTGTTTGTGTATGGGTCCCGGTTATGGGTCCTGTCTGGCTCAGTTTGTAGAGAATGGTGCTTGCAACGCCATGGTTGTGGGTTTGACTCCCATGGGGGACCAGTACACGGGGGGGGAGTATGAAAATGTATGCACTCACCACTGTAAGACTGTTTTCACATATATTCCTCTTCATAAGAACTGATCTCAGTCATCTTTAAAGTGAACTCTGGGGTAAAAAAAAAAAAGCAAAATAACTCTGTTCTCTTTGTATACACACTGTCTTTGAATGAGGACTCAACTCTTTTGCCAGTTCACTTCACCTATTTTATGGGCTGAGTCCTCTTTGCATTCACATTGCTATGTTTAGAAGGAACCAAGATTTTTTTCCCAACATTCACTCAATGCACTCTGCTAGATATGCCCACTTACATTTGGAAGCTAATAGATTGCATTTAGTTAAAATATTATACATAATTGTCATCAACAGATAATATTAACATTTAATATGATTGGTAACAGAATAAATAACTGAAGAATAATTGCAGATTAAATAATGCTGTAATTGAAAATTGTACACCCAATGTAGGCTACTGCCCCTAGAATTGATTTTGTACCCTATGTAGTAATTCTCACCAAATATGTTGTCTTCGCACACTATTCAAACCCCACAATCGAATAAACAACTTATGATGCTCTCTTAGCCTATAGATCACATATTGCAAACAAATAATCTGAACCAAAAACTATTTCTGTGCATCCTTGATAATCAATATCTAGAAACGACACGTTTTTTCCATGAACCTTCTCCTTTGTGGCACCAATGGCGTTATGGCAGTGGAAATGGTGTTGCAGTAGTTTAGTGTGTGGTGCGGGAATAATGGCAAGCGAACCTGGGGAGCTTTGTGTTCACATTGCCCTAAAAAAGGGTACCGGACCACGGAATTCAAGGGAACCGAACTCAGACCACCTCTCGAGATGGTCTGTTTGGTTCGCTTCGGGGCTCTTTTGAGGGGTCTGAGTTCCTTTAGTGTTCACACTGCACAAAAAAATTTGCGAACCGCACTGAGTACACAAAAATTGTCTGAAAGGGATCAAGTGTGAACACACTGAGTCTCTTTGGAGAAAAGTGTCTGCTAAATGACAAAAATGTAAATGAAAAATCAAAGCTGCAAAGAGGCTCAATGTGTAGCAAGTGGAGTGCGAGTTTTCAAATGCAACGCAAAATGGAACTAAATTACGGGATCAAAAGAGGGAAAGGAGTAGGCTGTATCTGAATGGGGTTGGGGAGAAAGCACAGCATGTAGCCTCAATTAGCCTAGCTAGCTAGCTTCTCTAGGCTACTCCAGTCAAGACAGTCACTGTTATATTGGATAATACATAACATTGTGGCTGCTACAAGTTAGCTAGTCTTGGCTGTTGCCTTGGCTAACCTTACTTCATCTCTCTCTCCCTCCGTCTGCTCGGCTCGCTCCCATCTCTCACACAAGGGCCCCTCTCCAGCTGCAGCATTAGAGCGCCAGCGTTTCCCTCGCGCAGCAATGCTCCGGTTAAAAACGTACATTTAAAAAAACATGTAGGCCTATTTAGAACATCCAGATATTTCAAACCCCATCCTTACCCTACACTTTTACTGTACTGAGTGATAATCACTCAGAGCCCACATCTCGTAACCTGTATACTCCACAACATATGTAAACAAGCTCTGACTCAGTGGGTCAACTAGAGCTGTGGTGACTGAGGTTGCCTACTACTGGTGTTGTTTAGTTGTCCCATGTTGTTAGTCAGACTCTCCCTGCAGCATGATATAATGGTGTTTGGGTGAGCCTGTAATTGGATAATGGTTTTAAGCAGGGACATTTAGGCACGGTGTGTGGCAGAGAGGAAAACACATGCCTGCAACAGACCAAGACTGTTAACCAACACTATCTCCGTCTCGGCTGTCAGTCTCGGCTGGGCTGAGCTCTGATTTGGATTGAATGCCTCGGTTTGCAGCTTCAGTCATGCAAGACAAATCTTCATCTGGACTCTGAAAACATCACTGGACAGAGACTGCACATTTAGTCACAATACGGCCTTATGATATGAATAAAATGGTACATTTTAAATGGATTGTTCAGCTAAATTACAAATGTACATAATTGTTTCCTTGAAAGCAGTCTATGGACAGGGTTGTTTATTTTCTTCATATGGTTCCTTACTAGGGCGCAATGTGTTTAACAGTGTCATGTTATCCTGTCTGTATGTCAGATTGCAGGGGACATTAAAGGAACCAAGCGGGAGCTGAAGAAGGCTCGGACCGTCCTGCAGATGGACGAGCTCAAGTGCAGGAAGCGCGTCCTGAGGCGTCTAGGGTTCGCCACTTCCTCGGATGTCATCGAAATGAAGGGCCGAGTGGCCTGTGAGATCAGTAGGTAAGGAAAACAAAAAACACTGGTATGACTTTACCCGAATATATAAAAAAAATATATATATATAATGATACAATTAATAATAACAATTGGTTTTATTTTTGTTTCCTCTTTTTAGTTTTTCCATGTTTTCGCTCTCAATCACTTTTTTTTAATAGAAACAATTCCACAACAATGCTTAAACCACATCAAGAGACTACTTTTGATGTCTGGGAAAAATATAATAATTTTGTGGGTTTGGGTGTAGTAACCCTTTAATACAAGTGTGCCCAGCAAGAGACCATTGTTTGGTTAGCGATGTTTCTGTGATTGCGGAGTTTGCAAAGCAAATGGCCACTCGACTAATGCAAATAATCATGATATCATTCTCCCAGGTAGGCATAGGCTACTTTGTTGTTAACATTTAATTGAGAAGGTTTTTGGGAAAGCCTTTCCGTCTCTACCAGAAGGTTGTTATATTTAGCATAATTGCTAACGGCTACATAGTGTAGACATACACGTGCACCACGCACACAGACCGGGGCGTTCCTGTTGTGTGTCAAAAAGTTGCAGGAAAATACGAATCACTGATGCATTTTAAGTGTCTTATAATTAACTTGGGCAAATGTATGAATTTTCTACTAAGTTCAATATTTTTTTGAATATTGTTGAATTACATTTTTATGGTTCCGTGGTTTAGAAATTGCATAGTCCCCCCATTTTAGGAGACCAAAAATATTGGGACAAATTCACGTATGTGTATTAAAGTAGTAAAAAGTCCCATATTCATAGCACACAATGACTACATCAAGCTTGTGACTCTACAAACTTGTTGGATGCATTTGCTGTTTGTTTTGGTTGTGTTTCAGATTATTTCTAGCCCAATAGAAATTAATGGTAAATAAAGTATTGTTATTTTGGTGTCACTTTTATTGTAAATGAGAATAGAATATGTTTCTACTCACTTCTACATTAATGTGGATGCTACCATGATTACGGATAATCCCGAATGAATAGTGAATAATAATGAGTGAGAAAGTTAGATGCACAAATATCATATTGGAGCTCACTGTATTCCCAAATAAATGTATTCTCAAACATGTTATTTTCTCTGTTAAGCTGTGTGCACTGAACTGACATGATTGTTGACACTCCGATGTTCAGATGAAGTGAATGAAATAGTCTATCATGCGCACCACCGCCGCGCTCAACTCAGACAGCAGTGTGTAGCCTGCTGTAGCTTCTGGTAAAGTAATTCAAAGCCTCTACTTTATCAATCAGGATGTTACTTTCCAGTGCTACTATTTTTGCCATGTAATGTGATTAAAACACCATCAGACAACCTCATAGTAGAATAGTTTACCTATTTAGCTAGTCGGCTTGTTGATGTGTGTTCTATGCAAGATAAATATTCCTCTCGAGGCGCTTTCAAATTGCGAGAGCCAAAGGGAGGGAAACATTTATTCTGACAAGCAGTTTAACAACAATTCCTAATGCAATCGCGGGAAAACACTTTTGAAAGCAGTTTTGTCCTTTGTTAAAAAGAGGGGGGTCCTAGTTTTCTATTGCTACCACGTTATTTCTTTACTCCTTCAATTGCACGAGTGGCATCATTTTACAAATGGTTACAACTGCAGTTTCAAGCATGGTGGAGCAGCTGCGCAACAGTAGTGATGGGTTGTTCACAAACCATTTTGGGTGAACGTCGGGAACCGAATTGCATATTTTAAAGAGCTGTTCATTTGGCTCCCAGCCCCCTGATTTGCATTCTGTTACTATTGCTGTTTGAATTCCAGACATCGACTATCTGGAGATAAATTATCAAAACATTATCTGAAGATGGTAATTCCTCAGTGCAGGAACAATATGGTGAGGGAGAGCCTCATTCTGGTCCACGCTAATTTTGCAGGCCATCTAATAATTTGGTCAGGTAAAAAAGGATTTGAACTGACATTTCACAATCTGACATAATGGTAAGCAACGTTTTAGACTTTAAATTAATGGTTTTAGGTCAATTTCTAAGCATTACTGAACGAAGAGCCGTTTGGGAGCCAAATGAACGTCACTTTTTAGGTGAATGTAGCCAAATGATTCGGCTCACAGAAAATACTCGAATGCCCATCACTACGCAAAGGGGACAATGATATCTTAAAAGGGCAATGACATACTTCGTAATAAAAACCAAAAACGTAAGATTTTTCTAGTGAATAATAATTTGTCCATTATTTTTATTTATAATGAAAGAATTATTATTAATAATAACAATCAGGATGTTTCCAATGGGGTAAATGCAGATGCACAAACTCCATGCTTCAGCCTATGTACATTTTATAGCCACTATGCTGCATCAGTTGGGCTACAGGTGATAATGCTTATTGCTAATAGCACATCTGATAATATAGACAATGCATAGGCTATATGCACAGTCCAATATGTAAAAATAAATGTATAAGTTTTACCAATATGTTTTGGGGATAATTTCTGGAAGTGGACATTATATTTATCTGCATAATTTTATTTTCATTCATTTTGGAGTATAATGTCCTTTTAAAAAGTCACCAGAACTGAGCTTCTCAGTCCTTCTATATAAAATGTATCCCGCAAGGGGACTGGAATTGGCCAAACTCGCAGTTTAATACAGGTACAAAATAATATTTCCCTAAAAGCGTGATGGTCATGACTTTCTTACATGAAAGGGGAGGTTAACTTGGCCCAAGACAATCCATCTGAGATCGAATTAAGTTTGTCATGGGATAATTTTTGTTGCTTTAACCCCTGGCTGATGAGCTGCTGATGACTGAGATGGTGTTCAGCTGATCTTAGAACAGTTATCTATATTAACATGCTGTTAAAAAAACCTCTGTCACTGACTGATCTGAGACCTGTTTGATCCAGTGCTGATGAGCTGCTACTGACTGAGATGATGTTCAACGGCCTGTTCAACGATCTGACTGCAGAACAGGTTACCGCTCTACTCAGCGTCTTCGTCTTCCAGGAGAATGTAAGACGCACGCACACACTACTTTTCCTACGTAATCAGATAAAACATACTTTTGGCCAGATAGACAACATCCTTCTTTCCCACACTCTTCAACTTCAAACGTCGTCACGACGTTTCTTACACCGTTCACTAAAAGCACTCTAACCTATTACTTCAAGTCTGATAGTAGCCTAATGTCCCCATATCTTGAATTTTATGTTTTTTTTGATGAATCAAATCCTCAATACATCAACTTGATGCTTCCTCTCCCAACAAGGAATTCCTGTGTAAAATGTTTGAAAACTTTGTCTTGGCTTCCTAAATGATTGACCTCCCCACTAACAAATTCCACTCTGTAAACTCCATCGTACAGGCAGTTGGTCACTCTGGGATGTTTCTCCTCTCTGAGTGTTCATTGTTCACTGTAAGCTGGGCGATACAGCGCCACAGACTCTTCACTGCTGGTCCCAGTATGGCAGCCCTCACGTTAGGATGTGTTCCAACTTAGTGATGGGGTGTGAAATGCCTGGAGTCATGGTCTTGCTACCTCCATGTGTTTGTGTATCATAGTGTAATGACAGTACAGGTGTATTCATCAGCAAAGGTCTAGTGCAGTGTGTGCATCATCAAGTCAAGAATACATTTAAGGGTCTAGCTCTGTGTTTGTGTATTATCATGTCAACTGTCTATACTTTAATTTAGTTTTAGGCTTCTATATGTATCATGTCATATATACTGCCTGCAAGTCTTTCTCTCTCTCTCTCGTGCCTCTGTTGTCTGTTAGCAGATCAGCTCTGTGACATTCACATGCAGCTGTCGTCCAGTGTCCTGTCGCCCCACTGCCCTGCATAAAGGCTACAGTGTGTTGTATGTTGATATTTATGCAGCTGCTCCCTCTCCTCTGTTGCTTCTACCTAATGCTGCTGCTGGAGAGGATGGTGAGGGCGCAGACAGGCAGAGCAGATCTCATGACAGGCTAAAAACACCAGGGCTTTTTGGGGCGTCACACAGGGCACTGAGCCAGAGAGAGAATAGGCTTGGGAGTAGGGCACAGAGAGGGGAGAGGGGCCTGAGGCACTACCATAGGAGAGTGGGAAATGGGATCAAGAAAACAGTCACACATATTTATTATTTCCCTCGAACAAGTGGGAAACTTTATAAAGACAAAAAGTGGGGGAACAGTCTTGTATCCCCCCCTCCGCATCTGCAGGAGGTAGACTTTCACTTCACCACTCTGACCCTTTAAAAGTTCAATGCAGCAGTTTTTAATCTCAATATCAAATCAGTTTTGAGTAACAATTAAGTACCTTACTGTGATTGTTTTCAATTAAAATGGTCAAAAAAACTAAAATCGCTTCTTAGCTAACCGCTATTTCTCAAGCAAGAATTTTGTTAAGACTGTCTGGGAGTGGTTTGAGTGGGGAGGGGAAAACTGAAAATTAGCTGTTATTGGCAGACAGATTTGGAACTTTATTTCTTATTGGTCTATTAAAGGAAAATCCACCCAAAAACTGTATATTGGTTTTTGTTTCATTAGTCCATTGTTGATATAGTCCCAAAATGTTTTGCATGTCAGAAATCAAGTTTTCAAAAAGGTACAGTACCTGTCAAAAGTTTGGACACACCTACTCATTCAAGGGGTTTCCTTTGTTTTTACAATTTTCTACATTGTAGAATAATAGTGAAGACATCAAAACTATGAAATAACACATATGGAATCATGTAGTAACCAAAAAAAGTGTTAAACAAATCAAAATAAATTTGATATTTGAGATTCTTCAAATGGCCACCCTTTGCCTTGATGACAGCTTTGCACACTATTGGCATTCTGTCAACCAGCTTCATGAGGAATGCGTTTCCAACAGTCTTGAATGAGTTCCCACATATGCTGAGCACTTGTTGGCTGCTTTTCCTTCACTCTGCGGTCCAACTCAAATTTCAAACCATCTCAATTGGGTTGAGGTTGGGGGATTGGGGAAGCCAGGTCATCTGATGCAGCACTCCATCACTCTACTTCTTGGGCAAATAGCCCTTACACAGCCTGGAGGTGTGTTGGGTCATTGTCCTGTTGAAAAACTAATTATAGTCCCACTAAGCGCAAACCAGATGGGATGGCGTATCGCTGCAGAATGCTGTGGTAGCCATGTTGGTTAAGTGTGCCTTGAATTCTAAATAAATCACAGACAGTGTCACCAGCAAAGCACCATCTCACCACCTCCTCCATGCTTCACGGTGGGAACCACACATGCGGAGATCATCCGTTCACCTACTCTGCGTCTCACAAAGACACGGCGGTTGGAACCAAAAATCTCCAATTTGGACTCCAGACCAAAGGACACATTTCCACCGGTCTAATGTCCATTGATTGTGTTTCTTGGCCCAAGCAAGTCTCTTCTTCTTATTGGTGTCCTTTAGTAGTTGTTTCTTTGCAGCAATTCGACCATGAAGGCCTGATTCACGCAGTCTCTGAACAGTTGATGTTGAGACGGGTCTGTTACTTGAACTCTGTGAAGCATTTATTTGGGCTGCAATCTGCGGTGCAGTTAACTCTAATGAACTTATCCTCTGCAGCAGAGGTAACTCTGGGTCTTCCTTTCCTGTGGCGGTCCTCATGAGAGCCAGTTTCATTATAGCACTTGATGTTTTTTGCGACTGCACTTGAAGAAACTTTCAAAGTTCTTAATTTTCCATATTGACTGACCTTAATGTCTTAAAGTAATGATGGACTGTCTTTTCTCTTTGATTATTTGAGCTGTTCTTGCCATAATATGGACTTGGTCTTTTACCAAATAGGGCTATCTTCTGTATACAACCCCTACCTTGTCACAACACAACTGATTGGCTCAAACGCATTAAGAAGGAAAGAAATTCCACAATTTAACTTTTAACATGGCACACCTGTTAATTGAAATGCATTCCAGGTGACTACCTCATGAAGCTGGTTGAGAGAATGCCAAGAGTGTGCAAAGCTGTCTTCAAGGCAAAGGGTGGCTACTTTGAAGAATCTCAAATATAAAATATATTTTGATTTCTTTAACACTTTTTTTGGTTACTACATGATTACATATGTGTTATTTCATAGTTTTGATATCTTCGCTATTATTCTACAATGTATAAAATAGTAAAAATAAAGAAAAACCCTTCAATGAGTGTCCAAACTTTTGACTGGTACTCTAGTTTTTGGGTGGAGTTTTCCTTTAACTAATTTAACTTTCTTATTGGTCTAACTAATTTACCACATGGTGATGTCACCAGGCAGGTCAAAACTCCATCCAACCAAAACAGGCTGAAATTTCAGGCAGTCTTTTCAAACAGCCCTTACACTAAAAGGACATTATCATACGTTTCACAGTTTTATTCCAACCTCATAGTGTGGAGAATATATATATATATATATACACACACACACACACACACACACACAGTGGGGAGAACAAGTATTTGATACACTGCCGATTTTGCAGGTTTTCCTACTTACAAAGCATGTAGAGGTCTGTAATTTTTATCTTAGGTACACTTCAACTGTGAGAAAAATCACATTGTATGATTTTTTAAATAATTAATTTGCATTTTATTGCATGACATAAGTATTTGATGCATCAGAAAAGCAGAACTTAATATTTGGTACAGAAACCTTTGTTTGCAATTACAGAGATCATACGTTTCCTGTGGGTCTTGACCAGGTTTGCACACACTGCAGCAGGGATTTTGGCCCACTCCTCCATACAGACCTTCTCCAGATCCTTCAGGTTTCGGGGCTGTCGCTGGGCAATACGGACTTTCAGCTCCCTCCAAAGATTTTCTATTGGGTTCAGGTCTGGAGACTGGCTAGGCCACTCCAGGACCTTGATATGCTTCTTACGGAGCCACTCCTTAGTTGCCCTGGCTGTGTGTTTTGGGTCGTTGTCATGCTGGAAGACCCAGCCACGACCCATCTTCAATGCTCTTACTGAGGGAAGGAGGTTGTTGGCCAAGATCTCGCGATACATGGCCCCATCCATCCTCCCCTCAATACGGTGCAGTCGTCCTGTCCCCTTTGCAGAAAAGCATCCACAAAGAATTATCTTTCCACCTCCATGCTTCACGGTTGGGATGGTGTTCTTGGGGTTGTACTCATCCTTCTTCTTCCTCCAAACACGGCGAGTGGAGTTTAGACCAGAAAGCTATATTTTTGTCTCATCAGACCACATGACCTTCTCCCATTCCTCCTCTGGATCATCCAGATGGTCATTGGCAAACTTCAGACGGGCCTGGACATGCGCTGGCTTGAGCAGGGGGACCTTGTGTGCGCTGCAGGATTTTAATCCATGACGGCGTAGTGTGTTACCAATGGTTTTCTTTGAGACTGTGGTCCCAGCTCTCTTCAGGTCATTGACCAGGTCCTGCCGTGTAGTTCTGGGCTGATCCCTCACCTTCCTCATGATCATTGATGCCCCACGAGGTGAGCTCTTGCATGGAGCCCCAGACCGAGGGTGATTGACCGTCATCTTGAACTTCTTCCATTTTCTAATAATTGCGCCAACAGTTGTTGCCTTCTCACCAAGCTGCTTGTCTATTGTCCTGTAGCCCATCCCAGCCTTGTGCAGGTCTACAATTTTTATCCCTGATGTCCTTACACAGCTCTCTGGTCTTGGCCATTGTGGAGAGGTTGGAGTCTGTTTGATTGAGTGTGTGGACAGGTGTCTTTTATACAGGTAATGAGTTCAAACAGGTGCAGTTAATACAGGTAATAAGTGGAGAACAGGAGGGCTTCTTAAAGAAAAACTAACAGGTCTGTGAGAGCTGGAATTCTTACTGGTTGGTAGGTGATCAAATACTTATGTCATGCAATAAAATGCAAATTAATTACTTAAAAATCATACAATGTGATTTTCTGGATTTTTGTTTTAGATTCCGTCTCTCACAGTTGAAGTGTACCTATGATAAAAATTACAGACCTCTACATGCTTTGTAGGTAGGAAAACCTGCAAAATCGGCAGTGTATCAAATACTTGTTCTCCCCACTGTATGTATGTGTATGTGTGTATGTATGTATGTATGTATATGTATGTATGTATGTATATATATATATATGTATATATATATATATATATATATATATATATATATATATATATATATATATATATATATATATATATATATATATATATATACACACACATACTATATATATATACACATACTACCGTTCAAAAGTTTTGGGTCACATAGAAATGTCCTCGAAAGTTTTCGAAAGAAAAGTAGTTGTTTTGTCCATTAAAATAACATCAAATTGATCAGAAATACAGTGTAGACATTCCCCTCAGGAGACTGGAAAGATTTGGCATGGGTCTCCAGATCCTCCAAAAATTCTACAGCTGCACCATCGAGAGCATCCTGACTGGTTGCATCACCGCCTGGTATGGCAACTGCTCGGCATCCGACCACAAGGCACTACAGAGGATAGTGCGTACGGCCCAGTACATCACTGGGGCCAAGCTTCCTGCCATCCAGGACCTGTATACCAGGCGGTGTCAGAGGAAGACCCAAAAAATTGTCAAAGACTCCAGCCACCCTAGTCATAGACTGTTCTCTCTGCTACCGCACGGCAAGCGGTACCGGACCGCCAAGTCTAGGTCTAAAAGGCTTCTTCACAACTTCTACCCCCAAGCCATAAGACTCCTGAACAGCTAATCAAATGGCTACCCGGACTACTTGCATTGTTCCCCCCACCACCACCTCTTTTACGCTGCTGCTACTCTGTTGTTTATTGTCTATGCATAGTCACTTTAACTCTACCTACACTACCGTTCAAACGTTTGGGGTCACTTAGAAATGTCCTTGTTTTCTATGAAAACATACATGAAATGAGTTTAAATAGGAAATATAGCAAAATGAATAGGAAATGTAGTCATTGACAAGGTTAGAAATAATGATTTTTAATTGAAATAATAATTGTCCTTCAAACTATGCTTTCATCAAAGAATCCTCCATTTGCAGCAATTACAGCCTTGCAGACCTTTGGCATTCTAGTTGTCAATTTGTTGAGGTAATCTGAAGAGTTTTCACCCCATGCTTCCTGAAGCACCTCCCACAAGTTGGATTGGCTTGATGGGCACTTCTTACGTACCATACGGTCAAGCTGCTCCCACAACAGCTCAATAGGTTTGAGATCTGGTGGGTGGGGGGGGGGGGGGGGGGGGGGGGGGGAATAGGCTTTGTCGTGCCCTCTTCATGACTGTCTTGGTGTGTTTGGACCATGATAGTTTGTTGGTGATGTGGACACCAAGGAACTTGAAGCTCTCAACCTGCTCCACTACAGCCCCGTCGATGAGAATGGGGGCGTGCTCGGTCCTCTTTTTCCTGTAGTCCACAATCTCCTTTGTCTTGATCACGTTGAGGGAGAGGTTGTTATCCTGGCACCACACAGCCAGGTCTCTGACCTCCTCCCTATAGGCTGTCTCATCGTTGTCGGTGATCAGGCCTACCACTGTTGTGTCGTCGGCAAACTTAATGATTGTGTTGGAGTCGTGCCTGCCCATGCAATCATGGGTGAACAGGGAGTACAGGAGGGGACTGAGCACACATCCCTGAGGGGCCACCGTGTTGAGGATCAGCGTGGCAGATGTTGTTACCTACCCTTACCACCTGGTGGTGGCCCGTCAGGAAGTCCAGGATCCAGTTGCAGAGGGAGGTGTTTAGTCCCAGGGTCCTTAGCTTAGTGATGAGCTTTGAGGGCACTATGGTGTTGAACGCTGAGCTGTAGTCAATGAATAGCATTCTCACGTAGGTGTGCCTTTTGTCCAGGTGGGAAAGGGCAGTGTGGAGTGCAATAGAGATTGCATTATCTGTGGATATGTTGGGGCGGAATGCAAATTGGAGTGGGTCTGGGGTTTCTGGGATAATGGTGTAGATGTGAGCCATGACCTGCCTTTCAATCACAATCTCGGAGATCTATGGACAGTTCCTTGGACTTCATGGTATAGTTTCTGCTCTGACATGCGCTGTCAACTATGGGACCTTATAGACAGTTGTTTCTTTCTAAATCATGTCCAATCAATTGAATTGGCCACAGGTGGACTCCAATCAAGTTGTAGTGACATCTCAAGGATGATCAAAGGAAATTGGATGCACCGGAGCTCAATTTGGAGTGTCATAGCGAAGGGGTATGAATACTTATGTACATGAGATTTCTTTATTCCATTTTCAATACATTTGTTAATATTTCTAAAAACATGTTTTCACTTTGTTATTATGGGGTATTATAGTGTAGAAGGGTGAGGAAAAAATATATCAATTTAATCCATTTTGAATTCAGGCTGACACAACAAAATGTGGAATAAGTCGAGGGGTATGAATACTTTCTGAAGGCACTGTAGCCTTCACAGTAGAAATGATGAGGTAAAGAAACAGAAGACTGCCCCCTCCCATTACTGATGTAGCTCACTCTGCATGTTTCTTCTTAAATCAATCACCTAGTAATGTTTTGACACTTTTCTTATTAGGAGTACTAAGGGCGGAGACAGACCAATACTCCTGCTACCAAGTGCCTCTTACCACAGTATCAGCCAACATTTTTTGTTTTTCAAATTATTCTAGATGTTGAATTGGTAAAAACACGTTCGCTCCTTGACACCCAGCAGGTGGTCGCGGTGTGTCCAAAGCTTTAGACTAACGTCATCATGTTGTGTTTCTGTTCTCTTCCTTCTCTCAGGCTAGCGAGATGCCCAAGCTGACAGAGCAGCTGGCTGGACCACTGAGACAGATGCAGGTAAACATTATTCACTACACAGCAGAATAAGCTCTGTCCTGGGGGTTAGCATACGTTACAAAGCAGGATCAATATGTGTGACTGGTCAAAAGTAGTGCTCTGCATACAGTAGGGAATACAGTGCCATTTGGGATACAGCCAATGAGTGTAGCAGCTCGCTTTTCTAAATATGATTTAAATAACTTCATAATTCTGCTTTGTGATACACCCCTCAGACCTGGTTTAGTCTGCTTTTCTGATGTGTGGTTTCTAACACTAAGCTCAGGCTGTTTGTGAACCAAAGCATACACCGGCATGTGACTTGGCATCCAACCAGTCTACCTAGTCTGACTTACTGCTGTTTCCTGTCAGCACTGCCAAGCCAGCTAGAGTCTAGGCGGACAGTCTACAACCTAGATGTTTGGTGAAAGATAAAAGATTGGGTCTCCCTGTCTGAGTGTTTGCCTTCATGTGAATGGATGTTTGCTGAAATAGCATCATCAAAGAGTAAGATGGGCTATGTACTTTTAATTCGTACTTGTTTTCCCTTTTAAATTGTTTTATTGTTTCTTTTTTATGTTAGCCTATACCCTATAGCTATGTATGTCGGTAAATGGTTGTATCCCAAATGTAGTGCTCTACTTTTGACCAGTATACATAGGGCTCAGGTCAAAATTAGTGCACTATAAAAGTAATAGGGTGCCATTGTGCATGCAGCATTTGACTGTCATATGGATGTAATAAAATCTTGAATTTATGTCTGGTTGTTAGGAGTGTGCCAAGCGCATTGCCAAGGTGTCTGCGGAGGCTAAGCTGGAGGTGGATGAGGAGACCTACCTGGACAAGTTCAGGCCTCACCTAATGGACGTGGTCTACACCTGGGCTAACGGATCCACCTTCGCACAGATCTGCAAGATGACCGACGTCTTTGAAGGTAACTCACCTGGCTAACCTCTGACGCTCTAATATATGTCCAGTGCCTATGAAATGGACAGCGCTCTCCAAACGTTCACTGCCGGTCAAAAGAACACCTACTCATTCAAGGGTTTTATTTAAACTATTTTCTACATTGTAGAATAATAGTGAAGACATCAAAAGTATGAAATAACACATGGAATCATGTAGTAACCAAAAAAGTGCCTTGATGACAGCTTTGCACACGCTTGGCATTCTCTTCATGAGGTAGTCACCTGGAATGCATTTCAATTAACAGGTGTGCCTTCTTAAAAGTTAATTTGTGGATTTTATTTCCCTCTTAATGCGTTTTAGCCAATCAGTTGTGTTGTGACAGCCCTATTTGGTAAAAGACCAAGTCCATATTATGGTAAGAACAGCTCAAATAAGCAAAGAGAAACGACAGTCCATCATTACTTTAAAACATGGTCAGTCAATACGGAACATTTCAAGAACTTTTAAAGTTTCTTCAAGTGCTGTTGCAAAAACCATCAAGCGCTATGATGAAACTGGCTCATGAGGACCGCCACAGGAATGGAAGACCCAGAGTTACCTCTGCTGCAGAGGATAAGTTCATTAGAGTTACCAGCTTCAGAAATTGCAGCCCAAATAAATGCTTCACAGAGTTCAAGTAACATACACATCTCAACATCAACTGTTCAGAGGAGACTGTGTGAATCAGGCCTTCATGGTTGGATTGCTGCAAAGAAACCACTACTAAAGGACACCAATAAGAAGAAGAGACTTGCTTGGGCCAAGAAACACGATCAATGGACATTAGACCGGTGGAAATTTGTCCTTTGGTCTGGAGTCTAAATTGGAGATTTTTGGTTCCAACAGCTGTGTCTTTGTGAAACGCGGTATGGGTGAACGGATGATCTCTGCATGTGTAGTTCCCACCATAGAGCATGGAGGAGGTGTTGTTGCTTTGCTGGTGACACTGTTATTTATTTAGAATTCAAGGCACACTTAACCAGCATGGCTACCACAGTGTTCTGCAGTGATACGCCATCCCATCTGGTTTGGGCTTAGTGGGACTGTCATTTGTTTTTCAACAGGACAATGACTCAACACACCTCCAGGTTGTGTAAGGGCTATTTTACCAAGAAGGAGAGCGAGGGAGTGCTGCATCAGATGACCTGGCCTCCACAATCCCCCGACCTCAACTAAATTGAGATGGTTTGGAATGAGTCGGACCGCAGAGTGAAGGAAAAGCAGCCAACAAGTGCTCAGCATATGCGGGAACTCCTTCAAGACTGTTGGAAAAGCATTCCAGGTGGAGCTGGTTAAGAGAATGCCAAGAGTGTGCAAAGCTGTCATCAAGGCAAAGGGTGGCTATTTGAAAAATCTCAAATATATTTTGATTTGTAAAACAATTTTCGGTTACTACATGATTCCATATGTTATTTCATAATTTTGATGTCTTTCATTATTCTACAATGTAGAAAATAGTCAAAATAAAGAAAAACCGTTGAATGAGTAGGTGTTCTAAAACTTTTGAATGGTAGTGTAGTTTTTCTGTTTCCGTGTGGGGTATTTTTATTTATTTTATTTAACCTTTATTTAACCAGGTAAGACAGTTGAGAACAAGTTCTCATTTACAACTGCGACCTGGCCAAGATAAAGCAAAGCAGTGCGATTAAAAACAACAACACAGAGTTACATATGGGGTAAAACAAAACAAAGTAAAAAAATACAACAGAAAATATATATACAGTGTGTGCAAATGTAGCAAGTTATGGAGGTAAGGCAATAAATAGGCCATAGTGCAAAATAATTTACTATTAGTATTAACACTGGAATGATAGATGTGCAAGAGATTATGTGCAAACAGAGATACTGGGGTGCAAATGAGCAAAATAAGTAATATGGGGATGAGGTAGTTGGGTGGGCTAATTTCAGATGGGCTGTGTACAGGTGCAGTGATCGGTAAGGTGCTCTGACAACTGATGCTTAAAGTTAGTGAGGGAGATAAGAGTCTCCAGCGCCAGAGATTTTTGCAATTCGTTCCAGTCATTGGCAGCAGAGAACTGGAAGGAATGGCGGCCAAAGGAGGTGTTGGCTTTGGGGATGACCAGTGAGAGATACCTGCTAGAGCGCATACTACGGGTTGGTATTGCTATGGTGACCAATGAGCTAAGATAAGGCAGGGATTTGCCAACAGTGATTTATAGATGGCCTGGAGCCAGTGGGTTTGGCGACGAATATGTAGTGAGGACCAGCCAACAAAAGCGTACAGGTCACAGTGGTGGGTAGTATATGGTGCTTTGGTGACAAAACGGATGGCACTGTGATAGACTACATCCAATTTGCTGAGTAGAGTGTTGGAGGCTATTTTGTAAATGACATCGCCGAAGTCAAGGATCGGTAGGATAGTCAGTTTTACGAGGGCATGTTTGGCAGCATGAGTGAAGGAGGCTTTGTTGCGAAATAGGAAGCCGATTCTAGATTTAACTTTGGATTGGAGATGCTTAATGTGAGTCTGGAAGGAGAGTTTACAGTCTAACCAGACACCTAGGTATTTGTAGTTGTCCACATACTCTAGGTCAGACCCGTCGAGAGTAGTGATTCTAGTCGGGTGGGCGGGTGCCAGCAGCGTTCGATTGAAGAGCATGCATTTAGTTTTTAAGAGCAGTTGGAGGCTACTGAATGTAAATGTACTGAAGGAGTGTTGTATGGCATTGAAGCTCGTTTGGAGGTTTGTTAACACAGTGTCCAATGAAGGGCCAGATGTATACAAAATGGTGTCGTCTGCGTAGAGGTGGATCTGAGAGTCACCAGCAGCAAGAGCGACATCATTGATATACACAGAGAAAAGAGTCGGCCCAAGAATTGAACCCTGTGGCACCCCCATAGAGACTGCCATAGGTCCAGACAACAGGCCCTCCGATTTGACACATTGAACTATCTGAGAAGTAGTTGGTGAACCAGGCGAGGCAGTCATTTGAGAAACCAAGGCTATTTAGTCTGCCAATAAGAATGCGGTGGTTGACAGTCGAAAGCCTTGGCCAGGTCGATGAAGACTGCTGCACAGTACTGTCTATTATCGATCGCGGTTATAATATCATTTAGGACCTTGAGCGTGGCTGAGGTGCACCCATGACCAGCTCGGAAACCGGATTGCATAGCGGAGAAGGTACGGTGGGATTCGAAATGGTCGGTGATCTGTTTGTTAACTTGGCTTTCAAAAACTTTCGAAAGGCAGGGCAGGATGGATATAGGTCTGTAACAGTTTGGATCTAGAGTGTCACCCCCTTTGAAGAGGGGGATGACCGCGGCAGCTTTCCAATCTCTGGGGATCTCAGACGTTACGAAATAGAGGTTGAACAGGCTAGTAATTGGGGTTTCGACAATTTCAGCGGCTAGTTTTAGAAAGAAAGGGTCCAGATTGTCTAGCCCAGATGATTTGTAGGGGTCCAGATTTTGTAGCTCTTTCAGAACATCAGCTGTCTGAATTTGTGTGAAGGGGGGGGAGTTGCAGAGCTGGTGGCTGGGGTAGTGGTAGCCAGGTGGAAAGCATGGCCAGCCGTAGCAAAATGCTTGTTGAAATTCTCCATTATTGTAGATTTATCGGTGGTGATAGTGTTTCCCAGCTGGGAGGAGGTACTCTTATTCTCCATGGACTTTAGTGTCCCAAAACTTTTTGGAGTTAGTGCTACAGGATGCACATTTCTGTTTGAAAAAGCTAGCCTTTGCTTTCCTAACTGCTTGTGTATATTGGTTCCTAACTTCCCTGAAAACTTGCATATCGCGGGGGATATTCGATGCTAATGCAGTACGCCACAGGATGTTTTTGTGCTGGTCAAGGGCAGTCAAGTCTGAGGAGAACCAGGGGCTATATCTGTTCTTAGTTCTGTATTTTTTGAATGGGCATGTTTATTTAAGATTGAGAGGAAATTACTTTTAAAGAACAACCAGGCATCCTCTACTGACGGAATGAGATCGATATCCATCCAGGATACCTGGGCCAGGTCAATTAGGAAGGCCTGCTCGCTAAAGTGTTTTAGTGAGCGTTTGACAGTGATGAGGGGTGGTCATTTGACCGCGGACCCGTTACGGACGCAGGCAATAAGGCAGTGATCGCTGAGATCCTGGTTGAAGACAGCGGAGGTGTATTTAGAGGGTAAGTTAGTCAGGATGATATCTATGAGGGTGCCCATGTTTACAGATTTAGGGTTGTACCTGGTAGGTTCGTTGATAATTTGTATGAGATTGAGGGCATATAGTTTGGATTGTAGGATGGCCGGGGTGTTAAGCATATCCCAATTTAGGTCACCAAGCAGTACGAATTCTGAGGATAAATGGGGGGCAATCAATTCACATATGGTGTCCAGGGCACAGCTGGGGGCTGAGGGGGGTCTGTAGCAAGCGGCAACAGTGAGAGACTTATTTCTGGAAAGGTGGATTTTTTGAAGTAGAAGCTCAAACTGTTTGGGCACAGACCTGGATAGTATGATAGATCTCTACAGTAGATTGCAACTCAACCCCCTTTGGCAGTTCTATCTAGACGGAAAATGTTGTAGTTGGGGGTGGAAATTTCAGAATTGTTGGTGGCCTTCCTAAGCCAGGATTCAGACACTGCTAGAACATCAGGGTTGGCAGAGTGTGCTAACGCAGTGAATAACTCAAACTTAGGGAGGAGGCTTCTGATGTTTAACGCGCAGAAAACCAAGGCTTTTACGGTTACAGAAGTCAACAAATGATCGTTCCTGGGGAGTAGGAGTGATACTGGGGGCTGCAGGGCCTGGGTTAGCCTCTACATCACCAGAGGAACAGAGGAGGACTAGAATAAGGATATGGCTAAAGGCTTTAAGAACTGGTCTTCTAGTGCGTTGGGTACAGAGAATAAAGGGGGCAGATTTCCGGCCATTGTAGAATAGATTCAGGGCATTATGACAGACAAGTATATGGAAGGATATGAGTACAGCCTAAGCGTTGGGTAACAATGAAAGAGAGAGCATCACTGGAGGCACCGATTGAGCCGTTCTCGGCGTGTATGGGGGGTGGAACAAAGGAACTATTTGAGGCAGTTTGAGAGGGACTTGGGGTTCTACAGTGAAATTGTATAATAAGAACTAACTGGAACAGCAATAGGCAAGGCATATTGACATGGGAGAGAGGCATAAGCAATCACAGGTGTTATTAGAGAGAGCTAAGACAACAACTGGTAATGGCGATAAAGTTTGGGCTGAGGCTAAACAGATAAACAGGACAGGGTACCGTGTAAAGGAACAGTCCAGCAGGCATCAGCTGTGCAGCTGAGTGATCAGCAATATGTGAGTCCGAGAGCAGTTCGAATTGGTGCTACGGAACAGCGAGCAGGAAGCACGGCTGTTGTTTGCGTGTGCTAGCGGGCCGGGGCTAGCAGATGGATCTTCGTGGTCTTCGCAACGGGAAGCCTGTTGAAACCACAGACCAGTCGTGATGGATCGGCGGGGCTCCGTGTCGACTCTAGGAGGTCCCGTCCGGTTGACAGAGAGGTAGATAGCCGGGAGATGTGCCTGACTCAAGGCTAGCTCAAGGCTGATTAGCCAACAACAACGTTCATTTGGTTGCAGCTAGCTAGTTGTGATTATCCAGTGTTAAAGGTCCAGTGATTCAGTGATAACGCGCTGTGCAGACAGTGCAGACTGGCCGATAATAGTCCAGGCTAGAGCTGGCTGGTAGGTAGTGCAGGCCACGGACAATGGTGAAAAACCGCTAACGGTGGCTGGTTAGCTGGCTACTTTTGTCCGGTAGACAGAGAGGTAGATAGCCGGGATATGGGCCTGCTCGAGGCTAACTGGTGCTTGCTTCGGGGGCAGTGGTGATTTAGCCTACAGCAACATCCATTCGACATCCATTCGGTTGCGGCTAGCTAGTTGCGATCCGCTGTTAAGGTCCAGTGATTCAGTTATTCCGGGTTAAAACCGCTAACAGTGGCTAATAGCAAGTAGCTAGTTAGCTTGCTGGCTAGTTTCAACTGGAGATTCTTGATAAAGGTGAGTAAATATTTAATCCGTTCCACATTGAGTAAGGCGGGTTGCAGGAAAGTATATTTAGTAGAAGGATGAAAAGTGTGATAGGGAAATATATACGGAAAAAACTGGCTATTTACATGGACACACAAGAGAACACGACCGCACTGCTACGCCATCTTGGGTATCCCCATGCATTTGGTAAACCTATCCAGTGCAAGGTAACTCTCCTAACACAAGTTCAGTGCCAATCTAATGGACAGCTCTCTCCAATTGTTGTTTTTCTGTTTCCATGTGGGGGTTGGCCGATGTCTCTATGACTAGCAGTTAATAACTTTTATTTGTTTTGCAAACTGGCATGTTGTAGTACATGGAAGGAGAGCCAGAAGACCGGGTGAAGAACTCTCATGTTGAAACACATGGTTTTCTCTTCATTCAGAATTGGCTGTAGGCCTAGTCCCTTATGGCTGGAATGGTTTCTGTCTTTCTGAGGTATACTTCAGGGAAGAATAGCTTTTTACCTCATGTATGAACTGCAATGGGCATGGGCTGCAATCAATTAAATGTATTTATAAAGCCCTTTTTACATCAGCAGATGTATAGCTTCAAAATATGTTTACCACTATCATGTGTATATCATGGACTGTCAGTCCTTGCATCTAGAGGCGCCGTCTATGAATTTGAGAGGGGTTACGTTTCCCCAGTCCCATCCCTCTAGAGTGACAGGGCTGCTGTTTCGCTGAAAAACAAATCCCAGATTGTAGCTTTAAGGCACCATGAGTGTAGAGGATTTAAAATGAGAAATAGCTGAAACCGATCTCCCCCTAATGCTCTCATTCTCTCTCCAAAGTAGCTCTAGCGATAAGACTGGTATTTGGTTCTGTATATCACCCTGACATGAGCAGGAAAATATGCATCTCCCTTTTTAATTGCGACACGCAAGATTATCAGAGTTCAGTTATCAGATCCTTCTGAGATTTTGGCTCTAGATTCCATGTGAAGCTAAGGTGTAAACTATGTGGTTGTATTTTTATAAGGGGAGTTGGAGTGAGTAGGGGAAGGGTTGTTCTTCTCGCTTGGTGAGTGGGGGTTCTGGTCACAGTGGCAGGCGAGCCTTGGTGTGGTTGGTACTCATGGTACCATGTTGTTGTATAGTTCAGCTGGAGCGGTCTTCCAATATTGTTTAGGTTAACCATTTAATGGCCTTGGGCCGAATCTTAACTGAAGACTCAAACTTTTAGGCAACTCCCCCATTGACTACAATGGATAATCTCCCCTGATTTTCCCAAGTTATACACACATCCTCCTTTATTTGAATGACTCCAGTGCTGTTATTTTGACTGCGGGCTATCACTCTATAGGTATTGCTCTGGTCAAACTGACCCATATCTCAAGAGACTCCTGTCTGAGTACGGATCCCTGTCTCCCTGATCTGTGCATAGTTGACAGTTTTCATACTGATCCCTGTTTGTCTATCCATAGGGAGTATCATCCCATCTCTCTGCTCTGTCTGTGGTATAACTGTCTCCCTGTGCTGGCTGACCTTCTCGCTCCTTTGTCTGTAGGGAGTATCATCCGCTGCATGCGTCGCCTGGAGGAGCTGCTCCGTCAGATGTGTCAAGCTGCCAAGGCCATCGGTAACACCGAGCTGGAGAACAAGTTTGCAGAGGGTAAGATCTGTTCACTGCCCTATATCTACTGGTTTCAGCCTGACAGAATGCTCATGTGTAGTCTGTAAGCTCAAGCCAATAGTAGGAGAACAAGTCTGCCGAGGGTGATCTGTTCTAGTCTACATTGAACAATATCAACGCCAAGTATACTCATGTATTTCTTTTGTGTTTTTCATTATAGGTATTACAAAAATCAAGAGGGATATTGTGTTTGCTGCCAGTCTATATCTGTGATTTGTTGTATTTTGTGACATCTTTGTAAGAATATGATCACCTTTGTTGGTTTAAGTATCTTCCATCATGAAATTTTTATTTGTGTTCATGTTAATAAGCATAAAATGGCTTCTTTTCCTTCCAAGAAGCGCAACATTTGTACATATTTGAAACAATTTTAATAAAGTCTGTATAGTGATTTCTTTTAACATACAGATGGATTAAACATTGTATTGTTTATTTTTTTTGTTGCTTCAGTTGAAGATACATATTGGTCTGGATAATAATAATACACAGGAAGCTGTAATAGCAGCAGTAGCAGTCCAGCCAAGGCAATATGGGTGGGACTCAGAGTACAATAGGGAGCTCAGACAGCTTGGCTCCAGGTCATAGGTCAGGAAAGCACAAAGCAGGGTTACATTCACATGTCTTTCTGCTTCCCAAATGGCACCCTATTCCCTACATAGTACACTAGTTTTGGTAATAGCCCTATGGGTCCTGGTCAAAACTAGTGCACTATTTAGGGAGTAGGGTGCCATTTGGGACGTAGCATTTATTTCCACCCCAGTGGTCCGACCCTTAGTGGGATATGATGTGCATGCAGTAAACGCTTCCCACCGGATTTTCTCTATAGCTTAGTTGGGGCTGCTGTCGTAATGGTTTCCGTTAGTGGGTGTCTCTTGCAGGCTGGTATGGGGAATCTCCACCTCCTGAGGTTCCACCCTCTTCTTGAAGAAGTCTGACACGAAAAATACCTGCAGGGGAAAGACAAGTGTTCATGATTTTATTGAAGAGATTGGCTATATGGCTACTTAGGTAGAAAGTAAAGAAGTAAGGCTTTAAAGTGGGACATGTATAGGTCTATATAGTATCTCAGGTCAGGAGACACCTTTTGACTACAAATCATGGGGTCTGGGTGAAATACCCCTCTAACCTCAGGGTAATAGTAGCTAAGAGTAGGAGACCAATTTTCATTGTGACAAATAAAGCTGAATTGCCTTAACCAAATGTAGCAGTGTGGTGGTAACTCACCACCAGTATGGCCATGAGTGCCCCCTGAATAAGGCCAGCCAGGACGTCGCTCCAGTGGTGTTTGTAGTCGGACACACGTGACAGGCCAGTGTACACGGATGCAGCGATCGCGAAGAACTGGAGTGTTGGTCTCAGGAGTCTAGCCCACTCTGCCTGCAGTCTAGCCTGGATGTACAGCTGGGAGACAGATGGAAATGAGTTTAAAGAGTTGCCTAGTTAAATAAAGGTGTAAAAAAAAAAGTCCTTGTGGTTTTTACTACTAAACTTGTTCGGCAAGTTAAAATGGAAATGAGTTACTCTAAATGGATTTAATACTAATTTGACCTGTTAGACTACAATTATACTTTATTGTTAATTTTACAACAAATTGGTTTGCTGTCACAATACCCAACCTTGCACACAACACAAGGGTGGGTGGAGCACAGCATCTGCTGCATAGCAACGTTGCCAGAGCAATTGTAGGTTGAAACCAGTAGTTGCCATGGTTTAATCCTCTTTTGTTTTCTTCTTGAGGTTCGTGTTGACTACTGTTTGAAAGTCTGGTTTTCTGCTCCTCCATTGATGTTTATGAGCTGGTTTTGCCACTGTGTGTTCTGGTTATTGTTTGTGTGTATGCAAACATCATTCTGGTTTTGATGCTGTTTTCTTAAACCAACTCTGACTCCGCACTCTAACTGCTCTACATGGCAGCTTCTCAAGTCCTGGATATAAACCTACTGCACAGTTAAAACTTCCAAAGTAGTATTTAACCAACCAATCAGCCTTCTGCCCATTTTACTAGGCCTATAAATTGATAAAGTTAAGGCCTTGAAATGTCAAATTCCATATACAGTAGAGATAAGTGAGTGAAATAGATCAACATATCAAAACAAGTGTAATCTAATAATCTACTGTTCAATTTAGAGCCATTTCCAACTCCAAAGTTGACTGCTTATCATAGTGTAATACATTTTCCAAATCAGTGTACATGGTTATGGCCTGTCTGTACCCTTGGATCATTTTGTTCAATGGGACAAAAATCTGCTCGACTCAGTAGTTCTGAATGTGTTTGTACAATGACGAGTGTGTCTGGTCTATTCATTTTAAAAGGAAAACAAACCAGTGACGCTTCTTAAAATAGACTATGAACTTCTCATTCGCATTGTGATTTTACTGGTATGCAGAGATAGACTGGACACACCTCTCTCTGTTCTTGGACTTTAAAACTGCTGTTTGAAGGTCTTAACTGCCTTTGTGACACAGTTCCATTTGCTGCAGTAATTGTCTGCACTCGGTACAGTGCCAGGACTTTGTCCCCCACGACCTTTGATCTGTTTGTCGACGTATAGGGGTAATGGTTGTTATGCTCATCAGTCTTACTCATAACTGAAGTTTGGTTCCTGGAGGGAGCAAAATAGCACAGGCTACCTCTGTCAATGTGCTGTTTTGTTGGCTTTAACAAACATACTATAGAAAGATATGCCACCTTACCCAAGGTTACTGTAGGTAATGAAAGGGTGTATTAGTGTGTAAAGCATTGCTGTACACCTGAGTCCTGCATCACCTGAAGAAGGACATCCTGTTTCTAAGATAACAGAACTAGGGTCCATTTAGTGTGTTATAGTCAGAGACCCAGCTCACAAAATACACGACTTTGTTGACCATCCACAGCTGTCTAAGCCAACATAACTGTCTACACCCCAGTAAAGATCAACGTAGTGCACTGATATGTTTTGCTGCATTTTGAGTATCAGTATTCGATGTATGCAATGGGCCTTTATATTTATCATCCCATGTCTCTGCACTGTAGTGAACTTGAGGTAAAATCAGTTCTCTAATATGAATCTGAACCATGTACTGTATGTCAACAAGTATATTGAACAAAAATATAAACGCAACATGTGAAGTGTTGGTCCCATGTTTCATGAACTGAAATAAAAGATCCCAGAAATGTTCTATACCCACAAAAAGCTTGTCTTATTTTGTGCACAAATTTGATTACATCCCTGTTAGTGAGCATTTCAACTTTGCCAAGCTAATTAATCCACCTGACAGGTGTGGCATATCAAGAAGCTGATTAAACAGCATGAACATTACACAGGTGCACCTTGTGCTGGGGCCAAAAGGCCACTCAAATGTGCAGTTTTGTCACAACACAATGCCGCAGATGTCTCAAGCTGAGGGAGAGTGCAATTGGCATGCTGACTGCAGAAATGTCCGACAGAGCTATTGCCAGAGAAGTAAATGTTCATTTCTCTACCATAAGCCACCTCCAATGTCATTTGAGAGAATTTGGCAGTACGTCTAACCAGCCTCAACTGCAGACCACGTGTAACCATGCCAGCCCAGGACCTCCACATCCGGCTTCTTCACCTAGGGGATCGTCTGAGACCAGCCACCCGGACAGCTAATGAAACTGAGGAGTATTTCTGTCTGTAATAAAGCCCTTTTGTGGGGTAAAACTCAATGTGATTTGGTAGGCCTGGCTCCCAAGTGGGTAGGCCTATGCCCTCCCAGGCCCACACATGGCTGCGCCCCTGCCCAGTCATGTGAAATCCATAGATTAGGGCCTAATTTATTTATTTCAATTGACTGATTTCCTTACATTAAATATAACTCAGTAAAATCGTTAATTGTTCCATTTACATTTACATTTTAGTCATTTAGCAGACGCTCTTATCCAGAGCGACTTACAGTTAGTGAATACATTTTTTTTAGTATATATATATATATATATATATTTTTTTTTTTTCATACTGGTCCCCCGTGGGAATCGAACCCACAACCCTGGCGTTGCAAACGCCATGCTCTATCAACTGAGCTACATCCCTGCCGGCCATTCCCTCCCCTACCCTGGACAACGCTAGGCCAATTGTGCGCTGCCCATGAGTCTCCCGGTCGCGGCCGGCTGCGACAGAGCCTGGATTCGAACCAGGATCTCTAGTGGCACAGCTAGCACTGCAATGCCTTAGACCACTGCGCCACTCAGTTACGTTTATATTTTTGTTCAGTATATACTGTACGTCTCTGCGCTGCAGTAAACTCAGTTGGTCTAACAAATCTGATTTACTTGCCGACGACGTACACTACCGTTCAAAAGTTTGGGGTCACTTAGCACATTTTTTGTCCATTAAAATAACATCAAATTGATCAGAAATACAGTGTAGATATTGTTAATGTTGTAAATTCTATTGTAGCTGGAAACGGCTGATTTTTAATGGAATATCTACATAGGCCCATTATCAGCAACCATCAGTCCTGTGTTCCAATGGCACGTTGTGTTTGCTAATCCAAGTTTATCATTTTAAAAGGCTAATTGATCATTAGAAAACCCTTTTGCAATTGTTAGCACAGCTGAAAACTGTTGTGCTGATTAAAGAAACAATAAAACTGGCCTTCTTGAGACTAGTTTAGTATCTGGAGCATCAGCAATTATGGGTTCAATTACAGGCTCAAAATGGCCAGAAACAAATAACTTTCTTCTGAAACTCATCAGTCCATTCTTGTTCTGAGAAATGAAGTCTATTCCATGAGAGCAATTGCCAATAAACTGAAGATCTCGTACAACGCTTTGTACTACTCCCTTCACAGAACAGCGCAAACTGGCTCTAACCAGAATAGAAAGAGTGGGAGTCCCCGGTGCACAACTGCGCAAGAGGACAAATACATTAGTCTCAACGTCAACAGTGAAGAGGTGACTCCGGGATGCTGACCTAGGCAGAGTTGCAAAGAAAAAGTCCAGTGTCTGTGTTCTTTTGCCCATCTTAATCTTTTATTGGCCAGTCTGAGATATTGCTTTTTCTTTGCAACTCTGCCTAGAAGGTCAGCATCCCGGAGTCGCCTCTTCACTTTTGACGTTGAGACTGGTGTTTTGCGGGTACTATTTAATGAAGCTGCCAGTTGAGGACCTGTGAGGCATCTGTTTCTCAAACTAGACACTAATGTATTTGTCCTCTTGCTCAGTTGTGCACCGGGGCCTCCCACTCCTCTTTCTATTCTGGTTAGAGACTGTTCTGTGAAGGGAGTAGTACACAGCGTTGTACGAGATCTTCAGTTTCTTGGCAATTGCTCGCATGGAATAGCCTTCATTTCTCACAACAAGAATAGACTGACAAGTTTCAGAAGAAAGTTATTTGTTTCTGGCCATTTTGAGCCTGTAATCGAACCCACAATTGCTGATGCTTCAGACACTCAACTAGTCTCAAGAAGGACCGTTTTATTGCTTCTTTAATCAGCACAACAGTTTTCAGCTGTGCTAACATAATTGCAAAAGGGTTTTCTAATGATCAATTAGCCTTTTAAAATGATAAACTTGGATTAGCAAACACAACATGCCATTGGAACACAGGACTGAGGGTTGCTGATAATGGGCCTATGTAGATATTCAAAAAAAAATAATGTATCAGCCGTTTCCAGCTACTATAGCCATTTACAACATTAACAATGTCTACACTGTATTTCTGATCAATTTGATGCTATTTTAATGGACAAACAAATTGCTTTTCTTTCAAAAACAAGGACATTTCTAAGTGACCCCAAACTTTGGAACGGTAGTGTATATCAGATTCATGGTATTTTTGCTGCATTTGGAGTATTAAATATTCATATAGAATTATTAACACATCCAATGACCCTCTATAAATGTCCACTGTGTCTCTGCACTGTAAACTGATAATGGATATGATACTTTCTAATATGAATCTGATACATTAGAGCTGGGACGATAAACCGAAAATGATCGACACCAACCAAACAGACCACTTATCTTGAACATTTTGCTGATATCGTTCATTATGATAAATAACCTATAGGGCCCTACTAGAGAAATGTGAAGTTTGAAATGAAATACATTTTCTAATATGGGTGACTGTTGATGGAACAATTTTTGGCTACATTTCAAGTGGTAGTTAAAGGTAAAATAAAAAAATAAAAAAACTGGTGCCCATTGCTTTCAATTTATCGTTGTAATTCAATACATTTATCATGATATGGATTTTTGTCCATATCGCCCAGCTCTATGATACATGCCCTATTAGTGAGTGCACATATTTGCCCTTTGAGGAAACCCCATAGAGCATACTTACTGCCAGGAACAGCATGCAGTACATGGAGAAGGAGGAGTGGCCGGAGTAGAAGGACAGCCTGCAACACAACACACAATGGCATCATGGGATTGCTGTGGTGGCTGTGTGCACTGGGAAAAAGACACTGAAATAATTCACCCACCCACTTCAAATTTCACCCACCCACTTCAAATCGGCTCTGTGTTGGTGATAGATACCTATTGTTCTCCTGAATAACATAGAAACACATACACAGTGGCTAAACTGTGACACACCTTTTCTGGGTAATAGGGTTGTGCTGGAGAGCGGGGATGGATGTCCGCTGAAGTCTGTTATGGAGCACTGACTGTTGAGGGGGGGTTGGGATATTGAGACAGCGTCAGTCGGCCTGGCCGGGCGGTTAGAGGGCCGCTACCCTAGCCCACTTATCCGGCCAGCTTTAGTGTCTTCCTGTTTACTTAAGCAGTGCTGCGCTGCCCAGCGGAGGCATCCGCCCGTCCAACAAATGACCGATAACCAGCCGCTGATATAAAGTGGGGATAGCTGCAGGCCCACAGACACAACACTCTAGTCTGCCCTGGTACCGAAGTGGACACTAGTTAGTGTTGAGAGAAATCCCTATATCTGAGTGGGCAGTAGTTAGTGTTGGGAGAAAGCCCATGGTTACACACACTGCTCCAGTACTGAAGTGGACACTATTTGGTGTTGGGAGAAAACCTGACCATGCGGACTGAAAAGTCCACAGTACTGTAACATAATCCACCAGCCTAATGTCATAACAATTGAGACCTGCATACAGCTTCTCTAGTGGTAATGGCTGAAAACAGCGGTTAAGCCAGATATCACACAGAGAGAGCCAAGAGGGCTCTAACTCAACTCCCTTAATTCAATTATCTTTATTAACTGTGTGAGGACAGTACTGCAGTGAGGGAAGACTGATAGATTTAACCCACAGGACCCAAACCCCCCTGTAAACCATTATAGAGGAATACCGCTGATTCACTGAGGGAGGTTTCCAAGTGTAAGGCACTTGGGACACACACACACAAGCCAAGGCTCTGAGGGAAATGCTCACATTGCAGAAAGAGGATTCAAGGGGTTGATCTGACCTGCTCTCATCACTCGATCCACCAGGCAGTTATTTGTTCTATTAATGACTACCATACCAAAGAAAACACCCAGAACTGGGCCCTCGACCGGGAAAGGGCTGCCAAGGGAGACCAGAGCAACACCCAGGTAAATATGACCTTCTGGGGCCACAAGAGACTGGGAGAGCCCACCCAGGGATCAGGGTAGAGATTGGAGTAGTCTCTATGGGGTATACTCAGGTTTCTAGGGTAACACGGGAGAGGCTTACCACATGAGGTAATGATAGTCTACAGATAGACAGACCGAAAGACAGCTGTCTACAGCTGTCTCACACCACAGCCAATGTGTATAGTCTGTATAGAGACAGCCAGCTAGTGAACTAACTATCGCCCACCACTGCCAATAACACTTTGGTATGACTGAGGATGGGACAGACCGGCAGGCACTTGACAACTAGCTCTCTATTTATGTTTGTTGTTGGTCTATAAATGACAAGTCCTAGATGTTGATTTCAAAATCAAAATAGGGACAGACTTCCTGTCCTTCGTCTGTTTTCGAGTAGATGAAAAAGGAGGATGTTCCAAGTTTGTCAGATTGAAATTTAGAGTGACTGTTTTACAGAATTGGGTTAGTGCCTCATCTGATACTGGTAATTAACCTTGGTCTCCATGGTGAATACGAGTATGCTTGGAGACCAGCTTTCAGTGAAAGCTCAGAGAATCAGAATTCGTAAGGAACGTCTAAGCTCAGACCCACGTCTGGCTCTGGAGCAGGCTTGCAAAGCTGGGTCTCCTGACCTGGAAAGACCCATTTACCCAAAGGCAAATCAAGGTAAAACCATGGTTCCTAGTCCATTGTATTTAGGGCTTAAAGCAACCCCAGGCATCCCAGTACAATGTAGGAGCTATGAGACAGGCAATTTGACCGACTTCTGTTTATTCCAGTTTGGCCTGGACTCCAACAGTTATTTGTGGAATTGCAAAACATTGTAAAGATTAAAGTACAGAGAGACCTCTAACTGAAGTCATTTCCCCCTGATAAGCAGCCAGCCTAGCTGTCAGTGTCAGACACATCCCCTCAGTGAGTCTTTATTGAAGATTTCCAGCTGAGCAGTTGTTCAACTTGGCACGGCCAGCGTCCAAAATGTCACCCTATTCCCTATATAGTGCACTACTTTTGCTATGGGCTCTGGTGAAAAGGTGTGCACTAAATAGGGAGCCATTTTGGGCCTAATATAAACTTCAAAGTGTGGGCTTGCCTTACTCAACAATGATCTCATGGTCAGCACTCAGCATATCAGAACCATACCTATTGGATTCTATTTCTATGAACAGAACATTATCAGCAGTAAAGCAGGAGATATTATATTTCAGTGATATCATAATTGAGTCAGACGATTTGTAACAAGCATCCCAGCCTTTCCCAAATCGTTCCTTACCCCTTCCTTTGATGTTTGCAGAGCTGTAAAAGTCAATTTATGCTTGATCCAACAATGCTGTACGGAGGGTGTGACACAACTGCGGAGCCTCCAGAGGCTTGCGGAGGCCAAATCGAGCTCTGTACCGCATCGCTGTGCGCCTCCCAAATTTTGTAACAATGCAGAGAGCTCCGTATAGCTCCGCATTGACATGATTGGTTGACGGTAGGTGGGGGCGGTACATCCTGTATAAACACAAACTAACTTCCTTGACAACAAACATGGAGAAATTTGACAAAAGGCTATCAAACAAGTTCACAAATAAAACACATTTTATGATACCTCGTGTAGGGATTTCTAAGACACTAAAATGAATTTGAACTCCTGGAAAGAGATCAGGGAGGTAATGGGGGTAGATGCGGTAAAGAGGTCAATGGAATGCAGACCGTGGGGGATAGGAGGACGCTGGATTGGCGCACTTTCAACAAATCTTATCTAACAAAGTGGATTTTTGTCAAATCCGTCATGGTTGATGTATTGTAACAGGCCCACAATGTGGTTACTAAAATTCGATTTGGATATATTTGGCTGTTTTCGCTGCATAACATTTAGAAGTTGTCCCTTTTCAGGTTTAGAAAAAGTGACTGCTAAACGCTAACACCCATTCGTATAAGCTGGTAGCATAGCTAGCATACAGAAATCGGTGGTGGTAGTCAAAGTCGTTTTTAACTGTAATGCAGTTGATTGACGATGACATGAACATATATTGGGGCTGACATGCATGTAAGCATTATACTCCGATTTTTACCTCAACATAGTGTGTAATGAACAGCCTAAATGTAGGCACATTTTGGGGCGATTCGGGATGGAGATGCAGGTGGGAAAACAGTGCAGTCTTTTTACTTCATGCTACCTTGGCTGATCTATGTCAAGCACCGGGAAACAGACTCCAACATCTCAGAAGAGTTAAGGTCTTGTCTTTTCATTTAGCCAGTTGCTTGTAATTAGCTGGATGGCTATAGAGATTAGCCCTGAATCACTACGAGTGGTGCGGTGCAGAAGTATGAATGCTCCGACTTCTACGGAGGCTGCATCACAGTAAATGCTGTACGGCCACTGCAGACTTCGGATTGACCGTGCAAAACCTTTTAGGCATAAGATGGAAGCTTCACCACTTCACTGCCTATACCTTTCCAGACTCATCAGATATGCCTTATACCCACCCGATCTGTAAATACTGAAGGGTTAGAAGGGCCCAACTGTCAGTTTCCCCTCAACAACACCCACCTGGCCTCGTTGACCATGTGCGTATCCCCGGTGCAGGTGAAGTCCTCGATGTAGGCACCTGCCGTGCAGTTGATCAGCTTCCAGTCTGGCTTGCACACGTCCAGGAAGTGAGGTCGCAGCCGACCAATCGAATACTTGGCGATGTCAGTGAGCGATTGGCTCATGGCAGCCCCGAACACGAAGGTGCCGATGGCTTTGTAAACACTGGCCACATACATGTTGCTGAAAGAGGACTTTGATTTTATGTGCTTTAGATAGACTGAAAGGCACTCTCCAAAGACCATCTGTGAGGAAGGGAGGAGAGGAAGTAGACGGGTAGAGGTTAGATCACTTACTGGTCCCTCACAGCTTAAAGTTACAGTATTTGCACATTAGTATTGTAATTTATGTCAAAGTCATTACAATTACATGTATTTTTTGAGGAATGTCCATCTGAGTTAATATATTATAAAGGCCTAACAAGGATGTCCACTGAGAAACATGTCTAAAGTAAAATGAGTAAAGACCTTTTTAAAAGGGGAAATATCACAATGAGCGGCTAAACTTAACATGTTCCCTTATAAGATTTCACTATGTGGTAAAATGTGTGTCAATGGTAGAAACGATTGAGACCATGTTGAGTGCAACAAACACGCGTCATTTAAACATTGTGGACGGTTGGGGAAGTGGGTCTTTTTAATGTCATGTTCTTCTAAAATAGTGTGGACTACTTTCTGACTCACACCTCTTTACCACACTGTGTGACAATGGACCTGAAAGCATAAGCAGTTATCTGGGAGTGTATTGACATTCCTCTATCTGGAAATAGGCCTATAACTACAATATTAACATACGCTTACTACTGTACTCTACACTCTCAAGAGGTGGGTGTTGCCCTGATAACGGTTGACTGTTCAACTGTTTAAATGTCAAGGGTAATTACCACCATGACACAGATGCAATCAAGTCATAACCTGAAAGCCTTTGTGTGTGAAGGAATGGTCGAGGAACTGTCTTGATGATAGAGGAGGGAGTCCCCAACTTTCATTCATGACCTGTAAATGAGTTACATCCTGTGTGAGGGTTTCTACTTGCAGAGTACAATTGCACTGACTGACTGGAAATGTATGTGGACCATGGGATGTGAAACATTGTCTTTTACCATTTTTCTGTTTTATGTACATTTAATGGAACTAAAAAGCTTTTTGATTTTGCAAAACCAGGACTTGATAAGTAAGACTTGATAACAGCTGCAAAAAGGCTCCTATAGTGCCTCATTTAGGCAGTTTTACTGGTATCTATCTGGCCCATATTCACAAAGTCTCAGAGTAGGAGTGCTGATAGGATCAGTTGTCTTTTTGACCTGGGGTTCCCAAACCTTTTCACTCGGGAGCCTCCCTTTCAGCATTGGGGAACATCCAGCACCCACCCTGTGTGTCACGTCACGTCTATTTCTATGGGCACAAGCACTGTTCATGACACAAACTGTTCACACCCCTCTTGTTGGTGGAGAGAAATTTCACAGGTTTAAAGCTTATTTCCTGCAATTCTACACATTTTGTCATGGGGTGCAAAGAAAATGTTGCAGTTTTAAAACTAATTTTCTTGCAATTCTATACATTTTGCCATGTCTAATGTGTATTCATGTGATATTTGAGTGACAAAAAAATTACAACAATATCTATGGGCTAAACCCCCCCACCCCACAGAAAACATTAGCTGACATGGGCTAGTTGATCTGGACATTTCTGACAAGTTATAAATAGCTCTAAGGTAAGCAATGACTAACATGACAAGACGAACTGATGATGCACTACCCAATTTCAAACATGCACCTTATGCATTCTACTATTACAACTTTCAAGAGTACGTTTAAAGCCGGATTGAGTTCCTAAAATAAAAATAAGTAATATATATATATATACACACACACATACATACATACATACATACATACATACATACATACATACATACACACGTTCAAACGTTTTAGAACACCTACTCATTCAAGGGTTTTTCATTATTTTTACTATTTTCTACATTGTAGAATAATAGAGAAGACATCAAAACTATGAAATAACACATATGGAATCATGTAGTAACCAAAAAAGTGTTAAACAAATCAAAATATATTTTATATTTGAGATTCTTCAAATAGCCACCCTTTACCTTGATGACAGCTTTGCACACTCTTGGCATTCTCTCAACCAGCTTCATGAGGTAGTCACCTGGAATGCATTTCAATTAACAGGTGTGCCATGTTAAAAGTTAATTAGTGGAATTTCTTTCCTTCTTAATGTGTTTGAGCCAATCAGTTGTGTTGTGACAAGGTAGGGGTTGTATACAGAAGATAGTCCTATTTGGTAAAAGACCAAGTCCATATTATGGCAAGAACAGCTCAAATAAGCAAAGAGAAACGACAGTCCATCATTACTTTAAGACATGAAGGTCAGTCAATCTGCAACATTTCAAGAACTTTGAAAGTTTCTTCAAGTGCAGTCGCAAAAACCATCAAGCGCTATGATGAAACTGTCTCTCATGAGAACCGCCACAGGAATGGAAGACCAAGAGTTACCTCTGCTGCAGAGGATAAGTTAATTGGTTACCAGCCTCAGAAATTGCAGCCCAAATAAATGCTTCAGAGTTCAAGTAACAGACACATCTCAACATCAACTGTTCAGAGGAGACTGTGTGAATCAGGCCTTCTTGGTCGAATTGCTGCAAAGAAACCACTACTAAAGGACACCAATAAGAAGAAGAGACTTGCTTAGGCCAAGAAAACCGAGCAATGGACATTAGACCAGTGGAAATCTGTGCTTTGGTCTGGAGTCCAAATTTGAGATTTTTGGTTCCAACTGCTGTTTCTTTCTGAGACGCGGTGTGGGTGAACGGATGATCTCCACATGTGTATTTCCCACGTGAAGCATGGAGGACGAGGTGTTATGGTGTGGGGGTGCTTTGCTGGTCACACTGTCAGTGATTCATTTAGAATTCAAAGCACACTTAACCAGCATGGCTACCACAGCATTCTGCAGCGATATGCCATCCCATCTGGTTTGGGCTTAGTGGGACTATCATTTGTTTTTCAACAGGTTCAATGACCCATCACACCTCCAGGATGTGTAAGGGCTATTTTACCACGAAGGAGAGTAAGGGAGTGCTGCATCAGATGACCTGGCTTCCACAATCCCCCGACCTCAACCAAATTGAGATGGTTTGGGATGAGTCGGAAAGCAGAGTGAAGGAAAAGCAGCCAACAAGTGCTCAGCATATTTGGGAACTCCTTCAAGACTGTTGGAAAAGCATTCCAGGTGAAGCTGGTTGAGAGAATGCCAAGAGTGTGCAAAGCTGTCATCAAGGCAAAGGGTGGCTATTTGAAGAATCTCAAATCTCAAATTTATTTTTTTGGTTACTACATGATTCCATATGTGTATTTTCATAGTTTTGACATCTTCACTATTATTCTACAATGTAGAATATAGTAAAAATAAAGAAAAACCCTGGAATGAGTAGGTGTTCTAAAACTTTTGACCGGTAGTGAGTGAGTGAATATACACTGCTCAAAAAAATTAAGGGAACACTTAAACAACACATCCTAGATCTGAATGAATGAAATAATCTTAAATACTTTTTTTCTTTACATAGTTGAATGTGCTGACAACAAAATCACAAAAATTATCAATGGAAATCAAATTTAGCAACCCATGGAGGTCTGGATTTGGAGTTACCCTCAAAATTAAAGTGGAAAACCACACTACAGGCTCATCCAACTTTGATGTAATGTCCTTAAAACAAGTCAAAATGAGGCTCAGTAGTGTGTGTGGCCTCCACGTGCCTGTATGACCTCCCTACAACGCCTGGGCATGCTCCTGATGAGGTGGTAGATGGTCTCCTGAGGGATCTCCTCCCAGACCTGGACTAAAGCATCCCCCAACTCCTGGACAGTCTGTGGTGCAACGTGGCGTTGGTGGATGGAGCGAGACATGATGTCCCAGATGTGCTCAATTGGATTCAGGTCTGGGGAACGGGCGGGCCAGTCCATATCATCAATGCCTTCCTCTTGCAGGAACTGCTGACACACTCCAGCCACATGAGGTCTAGCATTGTCTTGCATTAGGAGGAACCCAGGGCCAACCGCACCAGCATATGGTCTCACAAGGGGTCTGAGGATCTCATCTCGGTACCTAATGGCAGTCAGGATACCTCTGGCGAGCACATGGAGGGCTGTGCGGCCCCCCAAAGAAATACCACCCCACACCATGACTGACCCACCACCAAACTGGTCATGTTGGAGGATGTTGCAGGCAGCAGAACGTTCTCCACGGTGTCTCCAGACTGTCACGTCTGTCACATGTGCTCAGTGTGAACCTGCTTTCATATGTGAAGAGCACAGGGCGCCAGTGGCGAATTTGCCAATCTTGGTGTTCTCTGGCAAATGCCAAACGTCCTGCACGGTGTTGGGCTGTAAGCACAACCCCGACCTGTGGACGTCGGGCCCTCATACCACCCTCATGGAGTCTGTTTCTGACCGTTTGAGCAGACACATGCACATTTGTGGCATGCTGGAGGTCATTTTGCAGGGCTCTGGCAGTGCTCCTCCTACTCCTCCTTGCACAAAGGCGGAGGTAGCGGTCCTGCTGCTGGGTTGTTGCCCTCCTACGGCCTCCTCCACGTCTCCTGATGTACTGGCCTGTCTCCTGGTAGCGCCTCCATGCTCTGGACACTACGCTGACAGACAGCAAACCTTCTTGCCACAGCTCGCATTGATGTGCCATCCTGGATGAGCTGCACTACCTGAGCCACTTGTGTGGGTTGTAGACTCCGTCTCATGCTACCACTAGAGTGAAAGCACCGCCAGCATTCAAAAGTGACCAAAACATCAGCCAGGAAGCATAGGAACTGAGAAGTGGTCTGTGGTCACCACTTGCAGAACCATTCCTTTATTGGGGGTGTCTTGCTAATTGCCTACAATTTCCACCTGTTGTCTATTCCATTTGCACAACAGCATGTGACATTTATTGTCAATCAGTGTTGCTTCCTAAGTGGACAGTTTGATTTCACAGAAGTGTGATTGACTTGGAGTTACATTGTGTTGTTTAAGTGTTCCCTTAATTTTTTTGAGCAGTATATATATATATATATATAAATAAAATGCACATACATACATACATACATCCATCTGCATTCGGAAAGTATTCAGACCCCTTGACTTTTTCCACTTTGTTACGTTACAGCCTTATTCTAAAATTGATTAAACTGTTTTTCCCCCCTCATCAATCCACACACAATACCCCATTATGAC